GTAAAGTGCATAATTTTCCTTTCAATCTTTTAAAAATAAGCATTTTACTGCTGATAAAAAAGGATATGTACCATTAATATTTTACTTTTTTTAAAAAAAAAAATTCTTCATTTTCCTTTCATCTATCTCTTTCTAATACTCAGGATAACAATGAAGCTTTGGTTAACTATGAGAGAGGCACAGGATTTTTTTTTAAATTTTTTTTTTTTTTTAACTAACGGCTTGGAGTTGTATTGTTTCGCAGAATATCCCATTTAATATAAATTAAATTTTACTACCTTCATATTTTTATTATCTTGATGATGCAAACTTAGTTCTGATGAGTGGTTGTGTGTTAGCAATTAATTATGTGATTTGATTACGTTACAAAAAATAAAAATTCGTATTGAAAAATATGAAATAGGTGAAATGATTAAACTCAACGAAAAAAAAAACATACTCTCTCCGTTCTCAAAAAAAAAAATAAAGTAGTGCAGGTTGAATTTTGAATTTTGTAATAAAACTAGTATAAATCTCAAAATTTAATATAAATAATTTTTTTTTAGACAAAGCTAGTATTATATATGAAAAAATCGCTATCTAATTAATAAATAGAGAGGGGGCAAAGCCCTAATTGATGATCTATACCTTTTGTCTGTGATTTGATTTCCAGCGGTAACTGTGTCGGTCCCGGCGGGCCGGCGTCATCGCGTGTACGGCCAAATCCTCTTCTACGTTTCCTTTGCTTTACTTGCCGGCCGACGTGCCCAAAACCATGTATTTATCGCTGACACTGATACTGATACTAATTGAGGCAACAAGAAGTATACTAGATAGTTGGCTACTGAAATCAATTTGGATTCTGTCGTTGGTTAGTACAACTATTTTAACATTTTTTACATTGGATCAAATTGCAAGTAGTTTTTTTTTTTTTTTCTTTTGGTTAAAAGGTAAATTTTACTAAGCATCAATGATCAATCACATATGAGTAGTTTCTGTATCTTTTCTTAGCTATTATACATATTTTTTCTTTAAAAACAAAAAAAGAGATGGTTCAAATTCATAAATAATTACTCCCTCCATTTCAAAATGTAGGTCATTTAGACTCTACATGTAAATTAAGGAAATAATTATTTAATAGTTAATTTGTGTGTTAAATTTCTATTTTACCTATCATTAATTATTTTAAAACTATAACTAATACTAGATGAAAGTGGTTAGCCTTTTTTATTGGGGGTAAAGTTAGAAAGTTAGTATTTTATTTGCCTTAAAATCCTAAAACGACCTACATTTTGAAATATTTCTCTGAATCTAAAACAATCTACATTTTGAAATGAAGGGAGTATGATTTACACCAAATTCCTATAAGAACTTTTTCCCCAATTCTAACACCAGTACAACTTCTTTGAACAATTTTTGCACCTTGTAAGCAAGTAAATAATATTTTAATAGGAAATGAAAGTGATAGTGCCATTAATTTCCAAAAATATAATATTATGAGTGACGATAAAGATAGTAAATCATAACATGATTCACATATACGCATAGTAAATGAACTATCTTCTTAAAAATTGTCATTTAATGTTTTCATTTCACCATATGAGATAACTATCTCTGTCATTTTCGAGTGTTGATAAAATGAGAAGACGGGTTACTGTGAAGGTTGGGTGTAAACATGAGGTGACAATAGAGTACTATTTTGTAACTTAGGATACCCATATGGGGGGAAATGGGGTAGAGTAGTATATGGAAAGGGCCAAATGAAGAAGGAAACAAAAAATTTACAACTCATCGACCTCAGGGTTCATCACTCTTTCGCCAGACTTTGTTTTCCCCAGCTGCTAATTACTGCTAATTACCACTCAATATTCGAATTAAAATATACACATAAAAAAAACTTGTGAGTTTGACTCTCACACATTATGGATCGGTAAACAAAAAGAACAATAGAAGTTAAATAAAAATGGCCGTCTGAGCCAAATCACTATTTGTTTCAACATTCCTTAAAAATGTGACATTGTATTGCCCCCCAAAAAAATGTGACATTGTAATTTTATTAGACTACGGATATATATATATATATATATATTTATATGGAAATTCACATGTATCCACTATAGTTCAATATTTTCTCTGTTCAAAAATTATTGTCCAGTTACACAAATACATTTTTTTTTAATTTTTGCTCAAATAATAGTTACAGCAGTTTACTACAACGCATTAGAATTTCACATATTACAATATGATTAATTTAGGTTCAAAATCCAGCATTTTGTACACAAAAGTTGGGAATATAATACTCGGCCTTCGCTGACAAAAAATAAATTGATAAATTTGTTCAAATTTTTTTTTTTTTGTTTGGCATTAATTTTGGAGGGTAGATTTTTATTACATAGAGATGTGGGGATGGATGTGACTGTTGGGATCTAATTTGAAAGCAGCAGAGCGTAAGAGATTGACCGTAAAAGCGGAGTTTCCATTTTATTTATTTATTTATTTTTTGACTGTGTTACACTACTTACCAGTGTTTTTCTCAAGCTCTGACATAAAGCACCTGCAACCTCCTCTGACTCCAAAATCTAAAGAATCCTTTGATATATTGTACACCAATAAAAAGTAACGGAGAAAAATGTGAAAGATTCCTTGGTGTTGGAGAAGAATTTTTAGTACCCTCCTCTTTCCTCACTCATAGTTTAATTTTTCTTGAGTTATAGAGATTTGGGAATGTAGAGAAAACTACCACTGGAAGCCTCGAAGAAAGGCATAGATGAAATACAGTAAAAGAGAGTTGATGATGATGATGATGATACTCAGAAGAACACATCTCAGACAAAGAACAGTGTCATTGACCAAAGACTATAGGACCACCGACCATAAGTCCCTTTTTAGGCTGTAAGACACCTCGAATTTCAACCTTTGCACAATTCAAACACTGTACTACAATTCTTAATTCTTATTTCTTAATTTTCTTCCCATATATATATATATATATTTGTAAATATAAACTGTATAACATATTAAACTATTTCCCATTTACTATGATGTACCAGTAGTAGTGTTTAGTGTTCGTGTGTACAAGAGTGAGCATAGTTATATTGACCGTTGAAAGATTATAAAAAGATATATTAAAAAAAGAATAATATCATCGTCAGATGGAGAAAACAAAAAAATAATGCATGGAGCACCATACACTGAGCATCACCACCTCCACATTCGCTGATGCATCTCTTCCTTCCATGAGGAAGTTTTCCTAATCAATAACCCCGAGATTTATAATCAATTCAAATCCTTTTCACCCTTTAGCTGACGATAAGTCGGCATCATTATTTAATAAATGAACCGCAAGTGACTTGCATTTTCAAATGATTCGAAGGAACATTCCTCCATCTCAAATTTGTTGTTTGTTACGTAATAATAATGATAATTATTTCGAGACAGATAGAGTAAAAATACACAAAACAATATGTGATTCAGTGATTGAAACATTTGGATTTTAGTGTGAGAACGGGTTATCTGATTCAAACTCATGATGAAGATTAGCTCAAAAAGAACAACATGTCGTCGATGTTCAAAAAAGAGTCTAATTTGTTATACAAATTCACTAAATACATGATTGAGTTCACAAACATGATTATCATTATGAAACGCAAAAGGATGAACTCGAAAATGATACATAGCATATGAGTGGAAAAATTGGCGGATCTACCCAAAACTTTACATGCTTTGTCAATTCTACCCTATTCTTTTTCGGTTAGCTAATATTACTCTAAACTATCCAACCGTTAGTCGATTTTGTCCAATTTGCTATTTTCCGTCTAAATTAACGGAATTATATTTGTTTTAATTATAAAAATACCCTAATAATTTTAAAAATTTATAAAAAGAACTCCAAAAATTTACAAAATAGTCTCTTTTCAGTTTTTATTTAAATTTTTCTTTTTTTTTTAATTTCTTTTTACTATTTTTCATAACCATAAAAATATACTATATGATCTTTTAAATAAATAATTTATTTTTAAACACTACAGTACAAATTTATAGATGTACATTTTGTAACTCATGATTGATTTACATAAACATATTAATTTTTTTAATAATATGGCTAGACAATAATGATATTATTCTTTTACTATATGATCTTTTTCAATTTAAAGAATAAGATTTTTTTTGACTAAAACTAATTTTTTACAAAAAATAGAAACATTTAGCATAGATTAAAAAATATATATATTAGTACATTTTAATTTATTGCAAATTAACTAAACAGACTATAGATTGTATTATCCAATTAAAAAAATTATTAAATTAAATCATAGGGTACTGTCTAGTATTTAGGGTGTTAAGTTTCATGAGAGTAGATATAAGATTAATTGTCATCAAAGTATTTCTAACCGGGAGAGTAATTTTATCCACGTTTAAGGGGGATCCACTAAAAGTAAGAGGGTTGCATTGGATAGTTAGGTGATTTAAGATCATATAGTATATTTTGTAGTTATGAAAAATTGTAAAAAGAAATAACAAACAGAAAATTTAAATTAAAAACTGAAAATAGACTATTTCATAATTTTTGTAAATTTTTAGGATCATTTTTATAAATTTTTAAAACTATTAGGGTGTTTTTATAATTAAAACAAATAGAATTCCGTTAATTTAGACAGAAAATAATAAATTGTACAAAATCGGCTAACGGTTGGATAGTTTAGGGTAATATTAACTAATCGAAAAAGAATATGATAGAATTGATGAAGCATGTAAAGCTGGGTAGATCCGCCAATTTTTCCGCATATGAGTAGGACCAAATTAAAAAGGAGACACAAAAAATGAGTACATTGGTAGTACTACTAACTACCAAAATTACAACTAGAATAATCAAAATCATACTACAATACACAAAGAAGAAGAAGAAGAAGGAGGAGGAGGACAAACAGACTGACAAACAGACGTAAGCATCAACATGTGATGATACTAAAAACACTTACCATAATAAAACTGTTCAACTCTTTCAAAACCAAAAAGCACCCGTCAACACTCAAATCTCACACACTCTCCCAACACGCACTTCAACTTCAACCCTCCATTGTTTTTTATTTTTTTCTTTTTTGTGCTATAAATACATCTCACCATTTTCACCCACCTCTTGTCTCATTCCTGATTCTTCCTCCTTTTCATCTTCTTTTCAGTTTTCTCTTCCTTGATTCACTCACACACAAATCAATTCCTAGTACCAAAAGAACAACAACAACAACAGTTGATAGATAGAAATCAAACGTTGTACTAATGATGCAGTATTACATGGATGATGACAAGTGGAAGCAGCTATCAAGGGATGATCCAAGCAACCACCACCATTCATCCTATGCTTCTTCATCTTCTTCCTCCTCCAAGCCGCCGTTTATGTCCAGAAGTGTTTCACAGAGGAATCCTTGTACAAGCGGTTCTAATAAGCCTTCTCTGGTGCGTAATTTGTCCCAGAAGAATCCTTCATTCAGGACATCTTCATCTTCAACCCCTCTTTCCAGAAGTTCTTCGCAGAAAAGCTCTGCTTCCAGTAACAAATCGTCTCTGTCAAGGAGTTCGTCCCAGAAAAGATGTTCGGATTTCACCAAGAAATGTAGCAATTTGGCTAAGGAACAAAGGGCTAAGTTTTACATTGTGAAACGTTGCATCACGATGCTTGTCCGGTGGCGCAAGAACGGAGATTCTTGAAGAAGTATATCAAGTTAATATATGTAATCAAGCCCAGATGAAATTAGCCCAGATCGACTTTTCAATTTTCCCGGGGATTATGTTACACCCTTGTGAGAGATAGATCTAAAGATGTTTTTTTGTCAGCCATTCCAGGTTGAAGAAGAAGATCAAATATAGTAAAGTTCCCTACTTTTTCCCCCTTTTATGCTCTGTTTTTCTTTTACTAGATCAGAACGTGACTTTTAAAAACAGAGTAATTAGTTAATCAAGCAATGAGCATCAATTCAATAGTTGCTTGCGCATTGTGACAATCAAGATGTATGTATCATTTTTTTTTTTTTTGCTTCCCCTTTTTGGATTAAGATGAATTTCACCTAGCTTTCACCCACGCCATTGTCACATGGTATGTCCTAATCTCAATCTGAATGTGACCCATCTTTTAGAATTTCTTTTTTGTTTTTAGTTCGGAAAATAAAGGGAAAAAAAAACTACATTAATCATGTAGCAACAGTAGCTTACTAGCTTAGGTCAATATAGTGGAAAGAGATGATGAAGAAACAAGAAAGATTCCTGTTTTTTAACAGCGGTTGGAACTATCAATCATGAGGGAGGAGGAGGGGAAGATAAAAATAATTGGCCTGGGGAATGCACCATGATGCTTTTGCTTCTTGCAGAAAGGTCAGACTGGGGATCTGCAAAAAAATAGTAAGAAAAAAATGTGACACCACTGCCGCATATAATGACGAAAAACTATGCATTGATTATTGTAGTTATTTGAATAGAATATACTTTTGCTCCTCAGAATTTGTTGCCCAGAGTCACTTTTTCCCAACACCACCCCACAATTCACTCCTGCAACTACTTTACCACATACTAATAGTTTAAGATCTAATAAGAGTTTATACTTTATAGTCTTCTAGGAAATCAATGGCTAGATGAATTCTGTATCAAAGTTTATTTGTTTTCCAGTGTAATGTTTCCGGTTATAGGTAGCTTAATAATTTTTGAAATTGTGGCTTATGATGGTGTGTTTTCGATTGTAGGTAAGGTAGTTTAAAATTGTGGCTTATAATTAAAGCAGAGGGACTGGTATAACAAAAGCGAATAATTGTACTACTTTTGTCCTTAAACTATTGTTTAATTTAAATTTGTATTTTTAGTTTAAATTATACAATAATTTCGAAAGGGAAAAATTACATAAGTCCAAGTATGAAGGAAACAAAGAATTCATTGAGCAAATGCAAAGGTCAAACAACATATCATCACATCAAGTTGTAGTGTTTTTTCTAAGGATTCAACACCACTCTTTCTCAAAAAAATTGAAGATCATTAAAGCCGTACATGGAAAATTAGATTGAATATATAAGTTACAAAAGCAAAGAAGCCACAACAAAGAACAGAAAAAAATTCCGGGTTCAAAACTAGAAGCCGTTTTTAGCACTTTGGAAGATCAGCTGGTGGAGGAAACAGCTTCTGATTTGGTAGTTTTCCATCCAGTACTATCCATGCCATTCTCAATCCCCAACTCAGATGAACATCAAAATGGCAATGCATAAACCAAACACCTGTTGGAAAACACACCCATTAAAAAAATCTCATCATTGTAACGTTAAATGAATTCTGGAAATCGTTTAGCAACGATTGATTGAGTTGAGAGTGCAACTCACCTGGATTGTCGGCTTGGAAACGAATAGCAACCCATCCACCAGAAGGCACACCAACTGTGTTTCTCTCAACAGGATCCACAAGGTTGAACTTGGCTGGATCATTTTTAGGATCAAAGTTCCCAAACCCTTGTCCAACAACATAGAAATTAAAACCATGAAGATGAAGGGGATGACTTTCAGCACTAATAATGCTGGTGTCCTGCATCACAACTTCAATGGTGGTGTTAAACTTCACAACCACCAACTTAGTCCCATTGGCCACATTAGTATTGTTAGGCGGGGTCCCTGTATAATTGAAAGGCATCAGGGGAGCGGACGGGAAATCCGCCGTAAACACTCCATTTGATTTCCCAAAGAAGTAGGATTGGAGAAGAGCTGTTGTTGGCATTGCGAAAGAAATGTTGTTCACGGAAGCCGCGAATTTGGTTCTGTTAGTAGGGCCTTGGCAAGTTTGGTTTTTCGGGCACGGATTAGTCCCTAGCCCGACTGTGAAGAAGAATTTCTTGTCCACAGTTTTGGGAACATTAGCAGGGAATTGGGAATTAGCCAGACTCCGGAATTTGCTGCTGAAATTTGCCACAACGGAAGTTGCATTGATCAATGGGAGAGTTGGGAATTGAAGGCTTTTAAATGTGGTGTTTGAGAAAGAAGAAGAAGCCGAAACAGGGCTGTTTGGATTTTCATATTCGAGAATTCCAGCAAATGTGGTGTTATCAAATGTGCCTGAACCGGTAAAATACGGACTTCCGGCCATGATGAATCTGGATTTGGCCGGAAAATTGTGCTTTGTTTTGAGAAGTACGTTTGTTGTTTGTCCTGGAGTTATGAACAGGACATCTGTTTTGAATGGCTTCACATAAACTGCATCTGCTTCAACAACTGTGAGTGAATGGTTTGCAATGGTGAAAAACAGATCGTCATTGAGTGCAGCATTGATTATCCGAAGCATATATGTTTTTCCAGGCTTCACTTTCAGCTTAAACGTATCTGCAAAAAAAAAAAAAAAGAAAAAAAGAAAAAAAAACCAATGGTTATTATCAACCAGAAAAAGAACAAATAAAACAATTGCATTTTGATTTTTGACTATGTATTTTGTATACCTTTAACAGAACAATTGTACAAAGGTCCTGGAAGTCCATTAATGGTATATGCCTCTGATACATTTGGTCCACCTCCTGTCTGAAGTGCCTGGCTAATGACAGCTTCAGGGTCTTCATTCCACCATTCTCCTGTATAAAACCATGATTCAAACCGAAAAAACAAAAAATCCGTTAAGACTTTGAGTATTTAATGTTGTTTTGTAATCGTTCAGGGCTGGCTGATCAAATGCATACCGAACATTATAGGGACTTCTTTGTGTGGTTTAGGGAAAGGATACGGAACATTTTTCTTGGGAAGGATGATCAATGGGCCGTAGACGGTGGCTCTCAGCCAGGAAATATGGGCGTGCCACCACAGAGTTCCTCGTTGATTGATGATGGTGTAGTTGTACACATAACTCTGCCCTGTCTGAATTGGACATTGAGTCACATACGATGGTCCATCTGCCCATCCACTCTGGATTTGCCTGATTCCATGCCTGAAATAATTTTTGTTTTCGCGACTTCTTCATCAGTTATCCGAAGTCTAAGAACAAGAAATTAATCCGCTACGTGAATAAGAAACACCGTTACGGTACATTTTTTTCGTGATGGTTATTTTTTGGAACTTACCAGTGAATGGTGATGTTATTTGAAACGTTATTGACCACCTTGATAAGAAGATTGTCACCTTCTCTAGCGATAACACGAGGGCCAGGGTATTTTCCATTGATTGTCACTATGGTCTTTGTGTGACACAATCTTGTCACATTCTTCAGTTGTACCTGAACCCCCCAAAACAAAAAAATAAACTAAGAAGTGAGCCAAACTTAAAAATATTTAACCACTTACGAGCAAATGTCATATGAGATGTTATAAAAAGTGAGTACTGTATCAATTTGTAGTTACGACTATCATTACTCGTAAAAGAACAGAACAGAGAAGAAGGAAATATGGGGAGAATCAAGCTTACATTGAAGGTATATTGTCGAACAATTCCGGCATTTGATGGAGTTACTATCTCAGGAGATAGCAAAATGCAACTCATCACGACAAAACAAAAGGAGAGGAAACATGTTGGGGCTGGTAATGGAAAAAGAGAAACAGCCATTGCTATGAATGTGCTTTTTGAGATATTGCAAATGGTTTTCTTTTGTTGCTATAATGGCTTCTTTTTTGTTGATATCCAAATGGCTGTGATGCTCTCGATTAGGAAGATGCTACTTTATATATAAATTGCTAGGAGAGCTCTCGTTAGGTTGGTTAGGTTATATGAATTAATTTTTACCCTAAATTGGAAAATTTTAAACCCCGCCCCCCAAAAAAAAAGAATATGATTTTTCTTTGAGAAACAAAGATACACCAACTGTTATCGGTCCATCTGAACTGTGGAGTGTGGACAAAGTCAAATTTTTTATTTTTTTGATTATCTAAGAATTCAAACTGATTAGACCCTTCTTGCTAGCTAGCTGCTGGTAATGTCGTCAAACTTCAGTCTCATCTTGCTCTCTATCACTCTTTCAGGTGGTGTTAACATTCAACCTACTAGTAACTAATTAATTTGGTTAAATCAATTTTTTTGTGAAATATGTATGTCAATGATAATTAACTGGCTTCATCCTCAATTCACTTTAACTCATTTGTTTACTCTCTTCTACATGTTTTAACGTTTAAACATAATTCTCAATTTTACTTTTTTTTTTTTGGGATGCAGAAACGATATTGTATAATTATAGACAGCCTTATCAAACCTTAAATTTTTTTGTTGAATTGTAGGAGAAAATTACAAATCAAATTGTAAAATTATGATTTGTAGTTATTACTGTGTTATTACAACCATGGAAGCCTACGGAACCACCATATGCCAAAATAATTTTCAACCATTAATCTTGTTAGTTAAGACTTAATTTACCATCCTATGGCTTATTAGCTTGGCATAGAATTAACGTTGTTTAAAAACTAAGTCTTGTGCGTTTGTTCATGGCCATGCTAATAATCATTTTTCATGTAGAACCCGCACGAAGGAATAGAACAAATGCTCCCTCCAGTAGGTTAGTGATAGCTACCCTTCAAAAAAATTTCCCAAAACGATAAATCAAAATTCATCCAGAAATTTGGAGGTAACATAGAAGATGACATTTGGCCAAACTTCTTTGAATCTGGTAAAGAATTTTATGGTAACTAGCTATAGCTAGTTCTACTTACCATTACGTTGGTTAATTTGTTCGTTATGTGTTTTTTTTTTTTTTGGATGGTAAATCCATTTGATTACTCCTACCTAAGTAGCTCTAGTTCGACCTCTTAGTAGAGGTATAGATTGTAGTGTTGATGCCTATTCTTATGAACCAATTGTTTGATCTTCAATGATTAAAACTTAAAAGTTAAAACCGGTATAAGTTGTTAGAATTATTAGTATTAGAAATCTAGCTTTCATACTATTGTTTTTTAGTATGACACATGTAGAAGAGATAAAATTTAACTATTATAGTTACAACTTACAAATAATAGTGCATTTTACAAGAAGATCAATAAAAGTATATATATGTACCCCGAGTCTCATCAGTTAGTGAGAAAAACGATTATGTCATTTGGTGCGGAAACAACGGTAGGTAGATTTAGATATATACACAAAAATCTTGACAACATTTTCTGTAAGAGTAGAATACTCACATAATTATGAAGTACTCTCTTCGTCCCGAAAGTAAGACAGTAAGTGAATTTTTATTTTTTACTTTTTGGAAAGACGAAATAAGTTATTTATGTTACCATGTATAATTAGATGTGTTCCAATAAATACACATTAATAAGAACCCGTTAGAACACATAGTAGTTGAAATTGTTAGGATATATTTACCAGTAACCTTTCCATTCTTATAAAATTATTTTGTAATAGATATTTTTTTTTTAATGCGAAATTGAAAGATGTTGCCATCAACACAACTAATGAATAAAAATGTACTGACTACTTTGTAGATTCAATCACCATCGTTAATTGGGCATATCATGCATCAACGGCTATTGAAGTAGCTACATGTGTCCCTTCTATTCGACGCAAAAAATATATGGATAAAATTGGAGATATTCTTTTCTACGTAAATAGTGAAAAAGTCCACATATTCTGAACTACACAATCATTAATTACTGTGATATTTCACCTAAAAACAGAAATTTCTTGTTTTTTTTTTAAAAAAAAAAAAGAAAGAAAGAAAAGAGAAGAAAACAAGTTTGAGAAAACGGTGGTTACTTTCTAAGTCAAGCATTCAAGAAAATGTTTTCAGGGCGACAAAGATACGCTCTACTTTGATTTTCAGACCAGTGGCTACTCAAGTTCACCTCCAAAGAATAGGACTTTCTACCCACAACTATCACTTTTTCATTTAATTTTGTAAACTTTCATATCTGACTTCTTCTTTTTTTTTTTTGTTTTTTTTTTTATTTGTCTGTCTTATTTTTGTTGAATATCTACCTCCTAATCAGTCCGAACTCTCGATTTTGTGACTAAAATTTGATTATCGTAGCCTTGTCTAACCCTCTAACCCGACACTCATTTGGGTTCGCTCCATCAAAAGAAGAAAAATATTAATGAGTAGTAGTATATTTAGTACCCCTCCATTTTGAAATATATATCGTTTTATGATTTGGTGAATTTTTTTAAATATATGTCGTTTTCACAAATCTATACATATTTGACTACTTTTTATCAATATTACCCTTGCAAAATGAAGCAATATTTATAATGAATTTCTATTGGTTTGTGATGAATTATATAGACAATAAATAAGAATATTTTTGTATTTTAACTATATTAATTAATGTATTCTTAGTTTTGATGATTTCTCTATAAAGACATATAAAAAAAAATGGAGGGAGTATGGTATATTGTCTTAAGTCAATTCGTAGGTGGTGACAGCAGAGAACAAGTAGAGGAAACTTTATATATTTGTCATTCTCTTACCCGGACAATAACATTCTTTGAAAAGAAAAGGTACACTTACGATTTAGAATTTCTTTTGAAACAGAGGGCGTTATTATTTTAAACAAAGAAATACAAATAATTTATTTTTATCAATTATAACCCTTGATTCAAATTCTTAGATTCTTAGAATTGCAATAGTTCATTCTTACCGTAATCTCTTTTTTAAAAAAAAAAAATAAATAAACCATCATCATAAGATACAAGTCATGTTTCATATATGAAAGAAATTAACACCTTCAAGTAGCAATCAAATTAACCAAGTAAACACAGATTAACCTCTGTATGTTCCTCTTTCAACAATTAGGAAACATAATATAAATTTTGAGATTCATCATAAAGCCAACTGTGCTTGAAAGTATCAGTTAAACAGATGACTACTAATTCTATATATGTTTGCAACAACTACGCATCTTCTTGTATACTCTCTTTAGTAGTAGTATCTATACATCAATGTGTCAATTACAAATGCCTTCTGATGTAAACTCTATTTTTAACTCTCATCCTTTTGCTTCCTTAAGCTAATTGTAACATACTCAAAGCAATGACCGGCCAATCTCATAATAAGATGGCATGACATTTATTACATTCGATATATGTGTGTGTGTGTCACACATAAACCTATATATACAACATTGAAAGGGTAAAGAGAAGTTAAAAAAGAAGAGGATAACAAAGTGGTACTCCCTCCGTCCCATAATTATTGTCCAGTTTTACTAAAATGAAAGATTTTATTTTTTTTTCAAACTTAACTATATTTTACCTTAAACAAACGGATATACCCCTACATAAGTAATTGTTTAACCACTAAGATTTTATGAATAATGTTTTTTACTAAGGACAAATATGTAACTTGATCCATAAAAAGTCAAATTGGACAATAATTTTGGGACAAAATTTTTTGAGTAAAGTGGACAATAATTATGAGACGGAAGGAGTATAACATATGTAAGAAGATTAGAACAAGACCTAGAGAAGGGCCTAGATTGTGGGTTTTAGGGGAAAAGAATGAAGATGAAGAAATCCACAATGCATGGAAATTTGTTTTGAGGAATTTCCACTTCTTTCCCCTGCAAAGGAGATATCAAGGTAGCGAGTTAAAAAAATATGATATAACACTATAACGCTTCCCATTAATTACCACGGCTTTTAACATCGATCAAGACTTTTCAAGTAATTATCAAGGTGGAATTGGTGTTCCAGTGGTGTTGTCGAAAAAAAAAAAAAAAGTGATACCGATTTTTTTAAAGAAAAGTGTATGAATAGTGTTAAAGTCCGAAAAGTTGCATTTTGAAATATAGATAGATGATCAGTTTTGCTATATGTTAACGTAAATGACCAAAATATGCATTTGATCTAATTTAGAGGACAATTTTCAGATTTGATTAGAATTAGTGTTCCAGTGACTTGTTGAGCAGTGATGATTAGTTGAATGTAATCAATGAAAAGGTTATTTTTATTATTTTTATTTTTTTTTTGGATATCGAAAGGTGATATTTTGTTCACAATGTAATTTACCTTTTACACCCCAAAAGAAATCAGGTAGAAGATGACTGCTCAGCAATAGTTATCTTTACCCTCTAAAATATAACATCAAACCTATTAACCGTGTGGCACATTTATTAAGTAATCCTCTTTGTTCTGGACGTGAATGAGCTAGTTTTCCTTTTTCCCCCTCTTTTATACACATGTAAAAATAGTTGAATGGTACATTCACTATTCACATATATTTAAAGTATGTTGTCCTACAAGGCCGAAAAAACACAAACCAGAGAGATTAGGATTTTTTGTTTGTTTCTTTTCCTTTAAAAGAACCTCGCGCATTTGGTTATAAATGAACAACAAATTGTGTAGGCCCATTACCATCCTTACCCAACTTCTTCTTCTTCTTCTTCTTCTTCTTTTGCCGGATGTTTATTTCCCTTGACTAACATGATTCCAATAGTATAATAATTAACAATAACATGATTTCAATTATTGTCATTTACAAATTAAACTAAAAGTGAAATCTAAACTGGATAATTTTGAAACAGAAGGAGTAATAGTTTTCTTCGAAAAAAAAGTTTGAATTCATCAACGATGTCGTTCATGAATCTGACTAATTTTAATACTAACAGTAACATGCATGATTCAGGTGTGAGTGATCGTTTTAGGACATATACATATGATGGCTGCCAATTGTTTTGGCCAAGCTCTTATGGCGTGGCTTTTATTTGCAAGTTTGATGGTTGTACTTGAAGAAAATCACGTAAATGCTTCCCCGGTTGAAGACGTATGCAACCACGCATCATCAAACTTTCTATTTTGCATGGATTGCCTTAACGGAAAGAATTCCCCAACCCTATATATGACCACCAACAACACCGACAAGAAGGATTATTATCAGAATCGTATGGCAACAACGAAATTAAAGAATTAGCCGGAAAAACAATAACCTGCGCCCACCGTTCTATGCTAATTGCTCGATCAGAGATGGAAGGTTTCTCGGCAAACTCCACCGGTGATTTGCGAGATGGAGCATTCCGTTGCATGCAAAAACTCGCAACTGCAGCAGTTCAGTTTGAAACGGCGCTTAGATTTTGGCAATATGACCCTAAAAAATGAGGCTTTGAAGCTTATTACCTATGGGCAAGATGACTACTACGCTTGTGTGGTTCCATTTCCAAGAGGTGACTTGTATCACTTATATGGGCTACTCAATTGTATTAGAGCTCGGGGTGAGGTGGCTTATTCAGTTATCTCTGCTTTAAGCCAAGTTTAATTTGTATGGTTGTTTAGTCTTCGAACAACAACAATCAGATCTTCCCAATCTAATAAAATTTTAAAAGACTACATATATGTTTATCCTCTTCTTTGTTTTGTATTATTTTCTCCCTTCTTTATTGAGAATATGTCAAATTCACATTAAATCACTTAACCAATACTAGTGTTGGTCGCATCATGCTATGTACTTTTTTTCACTATACATTTTTCAGTACACGTATCATTTTCCAAACATCAATAAAATTCACCTTCTTTCAAGAAATTTATTTGGTTGCAAAAAACAAACCAATTGATCCCTAGAGTCGGCCACATTTGACGAAGTCGAAATCCGTACAATAGTTAGAACGGTCGGCAATGATGAGTTAGGCGGTAGTGAGCGGTCTAAAACCTGCCAGACAATCGGTGGTTTCCCGAAAATAGACTGTTTGATACTTAAGTCAATAACGAAATAAGAGAAAGAATATAGAGAGAGGAAGATATGCGTGTGCGATTGTGTTGAATAGAGGAGAGGTACTACCTCTGTATATAGAGATGGTATTATAACTGTTTCCGTAAACCTAGTAAGATAAGTTTAGGCAGTGACTTAACTTTCGAGTAACTCAACCCAAACCCATTAGGGTTAGGTGTAGATTTAGCCTCTTCATTTATTGAATTTTCTATTTCATTGCTAAACATGTATAATTTTAACTTTAAGCAATCTTCAAATAAAATGAGTAAAATAAATACTAAAACAAATTGTCGAATTCTTTAAATTATACTTTTAATTTAAATTTTTCCAATTCCCTTATTTTCACAATATTTAGCATAAAAATGTGTTCATTTTTATCAGCTCTAAGAAAAATATTTCTCAAACTTTTCTCATATTGTTTTCCTTCGAACCCTATTGAATTTATGCATACTTAAAATGATGTCTTTATCAATGAATTGACTTTTATCTAGCTCGCATTGTTGTCATCATATGAACGTTGAATTCAATTATTTTCTCAATAGTTATAAACTAATCCACTTCAAAAAAAAATTAAAAATTAACTTTCTTGCAATAATCCATTTTTCACAATTCATCATCGCCCCAAGAGACTGTATGTCATATATATTACGTTTCGCTTCAGATTTTCCATCAAATAAATGCTTGGTTGTGAATGCAAAAATTTGACATTCCAAAATATGTTTTGAAAAAAGAAAAGTGATATTTTTAAACTAAATTATCCACTTTTTCTTAATTTTCATGTATGTTCAAACGAGTCTATTGAGTTGTAACAGAGAGAAAATTAATAAACACACGCAACTGGGTTCATTTGAATTGGATCAATAGTTTCCACATCATACACAGTCGTGCTTATTGTTTGTGCAATAAACTGTTCTCCAATATCATGAGAAAATGGCAAATAGTTTCCTTAAACTAACGAAAATTCAGACGATGTTTTAAGTAGGGTTCAAATCAACAAACCTCGATTTGTATGTATATTCGAGAAAATGAGAAGTTATGAAATGCAACACTACAGTATATGGATGGATAGTAAAGAAATCAACAAACTGGACGAACCGAATTACAGAAAATGAATACAAAATTAACAACTCAATCCCAGATCATAACGACAGCAATGACTCCCACGCCTAAAAGAACAGCAAGAAGCTTGAAAAATGGGGAATCAAAGTAAAGCTTAGACTGTGGTTTGAAACCCTTAGAAATGAGATGATTGATGGCCACATAGATGAAAACCCCACAGGCCAATCCCATTGAGATTGCATATATCCAATCAGCTGTGGCTCCTTCAGTTGTGGCATCAATGGCTATTCCAATTCCAACTCCAATTGGGCTTGAAATGGCAAAAGCAAATGAATAAGCCACTGTTGTAATGAATGGCCTCTTTGGTATCATTCTCAGAAGCGCTATTCCCATTGCAATTGCTGCAAATATCTTGTGTAGTGAAATTGTCCACAGGTTTCTCCATGCCTCTGACTTGGTCTCTGAAGATGAACAATGTGATTAGAATTTTGTGTAGGTTAATTTTTATAACTGATTTAGTTCGGCATTCGCAGTTTCACAGTATGAATTACTAGATAGCATTTTAAAAAGTACTAATTAATGTAATTCAATAATTTTCAATTCCCGGCTGGTCCAAAATCTTGCAAAGATCTCAAAAGAAGACAATTGTTGGTAGGTACATATCGGCAATCAGCATAGGTTTGGAATTTTGGATTACGGCTAGCTAGAGATCAAGATCATAACCAATATGCATCAATTATTGTTGATGATCAATTTACATTAAAGAACATATCCATTTCTTTAAATTATATTATTTCTCGAATACCAAGTTGGAATACAAATCATTGTTTTGTTTAATTAACACAAAAGAAAAAAATTCTGGTCTAACAAATTTAATGCAAAAACTGATAAAAGTCGGTTTCATATTAGACAAATATCAGCAAAATCACATGCAAAATCGCTTGCTTACCTGAAACTCCAACAGCAATACCCTCAAAAACCGAATGAAAACAAAGGGCCAAGATCAGTAATATTGTGTCCCCAACCGAACTTGTCTTTGTGAAAACCGGGTTTTGATGATCATGATGAATCATCATTCCCTCTTTATTTCCGACCACCGGTTGATGGTGATCATCGGATTTATCAACTTCGATTCTTGCAGCATCTTTCTGATGATGATCATCAGTTGCCCGAACCGTGACATACATAATGATGCAATCTCCAAGCATGGTAAGAAGATACCCGGAGGAGGCTAACATGAAGGCGAAAGGGTAACTTTTCGGGGTCAGATCGTGAAAAGTCGCGTCGGAATCGCTCAAGAAATGCATCAATGAAGTTCCAAGAAATACCCCTCCAGCAAATTGAGTTCCTAGTAACAAAAAAGTTTCATTCCATCGATAAAAATAAGGCGAAACTCCACCGGCGAATGTGCTGAAGAACATGATGATCAAACACCATATTTTGACCAAAATGAGCCCTTTTCGACGCAAATCAGTACTACCATTACTACTACCGTTGGATTGATCACTAGAAGTAGTGGTAGGATCACTGTTTTGTTCGTCGCCGCCATCGTGACTTCCTCCATGGCAATAGATGTTTGAGCATTGGAGAAGGAAAATGAGAAGCAGAATGATGATCAAGAGAGTTGACTTAGGTTTGGAGAAGTCAATGGAGGATGATATTGAGGAAGCCATGTACTATACTAGTAGTAGTAGTAATGATCCAGATTTTGTATGGCAAAATTAGCTAAAAAGAAAAGGAAGGAAATTATTGTTGTTATTCGTGATGAGATCGAGATTGTACTATCAATCAAGTTTATAGAGGATATGAGACTTGGATAATTGCTTCACCATTTGTTTACTTGGGGAAAAGATTTTATGCAGTACAGATTTGACTTTTATTAGGTTGTACTGCATTTGCTCTAAATTGTACAGTGTTGAATTTTTAGAACATATGAAAAAAATATTTTAAAATTTGTACAGTGTTTTGATCCTGGCATTCTGGTATGGTCGGCTTGTCTTCTTAATTTAATGTATGTTTGACAATAATTTTATTAAGAATCCCAATCCCACGTTGGTGTTGGAAGGAGACAGATATCAATATATAAATTTCATGATTTACTTCCTTTATTGCCAAATAATTTTGAGGTGGAATCCCATGAACTTCTAATAAATTTCATAATTTTTCTTCGTTAAATCAAAAGCCATTTCAATGATTTTATGCGATAATGTACGTAATGGTTTGCGTCATTTGTATCTTCAATTCTTTATTATTAGTATGATCATTTTTAAGTAATAAGCAAAATAATATTTCAAGTTTAATATGTTTTTTCTAATAGTTGTCAGCACGGATAGAGTTATACATCCAACCTTGTCTTAGTAGAAACTGTAACTATTTCATTAAATTAATGGTGAATGTCATGATTATACTGTACCACCTTTGGTACAAATGCGATGGTTTTTTTTTTTTTTTTTGGTGAACGTTCCAACATAGTCAAGTTAGGAATGAATGTCGTAATGAAAATATAGAAGCTAGCAAATAGAATGGCTTTCTGTAAAACACTCATTAGATTGATATAGAAGCAATAGTCTTACAGAAGCATATATAAGGTTTTAATTCTTTTTATATCTGATCTTCCGACACAGATACACTTCTTTTATTTTATCTTTATTGCATACATTAGCAACTTCCTTGAAGAGTATCAAACAGTGCCGTGATCATCATTACCAAATGGAATGCTCCCACCCATACCATACTCGCCCATGGTCGGAATCTTGCAGACTGGGCATGTTTCTCGTCTCTTCAGCCAGGGATCAACGCAGTTGGCATGGAACTGCAGAACAGGGTCAAACATCTTGAGACGTCACTGTATGGTTTTCGTAAGACTTACAGACACAGCACCTGAAACAACTATGACAGTCCCACGCAAAACCAAGGTCTTACTAATTTTTAGTTCAGTTGTTTAGCGAAAAATATGGGGAATGTCTCTAACAAATGCAGATAGGGTTTTCCATCGCATAACAGAAGACCTAGAGAGCAATCTGTTACTGAATCTGTTTCAGCCGGTGTTAAATGTAACGAAACAAAGATTGAAGATGAAACCATATTTTATTCTTCCGTGTAGAGTATGTATAGAGCATAAAGCTTTCACAGAACAGGTTTCTGTCAACATAACAGAAATATGTATGGTAGAACTCTGATGCAGCAAACTTGTATACCTGATGGTCACAAGGCAAGCAACGAACTAGATCATCATCATTTAAGAAATCCATGCAAATCATACATTTCTCCCAAACCACCATGGCTCCCTGATCATCAAGAGTAATTTGCGTCAACAAATTCATCTTGAATTACTATAACTTGAAGTGATGAATTTTTAAAGATAAGCATTTTTCTGAAGCAAACAAAAAAAAAAAAAGTTATTTTGGATCATAAAAGCTGAATAGTATGAGTTTCACTCAGTCCAAAAAAAGGGTTACCGGATCTCCATATTTAACATTGTGTAGTGATACTCAAAATTAAATCTCCTGAACTTGAGCCTCAAAGGTCATAGAACAAGCATGGTCTAAAAGGAACCAATTTGGTCACTGACCCTTGCTTTAGTTTTGAATAACAACTTCCAGAATTGGTCTAAAGAAACCATGAATGACAACATTTTAGATTTCATGGCCAACGGAAACAGTTTCCCATCGGAGATAAAAATCTTAACACCACAAAGTAATCAAAAATTGAACAGCGAGATTTTGGGTTTAAGGCAGCTGTACACACTGCAACTGCTGACAAGTACAAATGGATGCTGTTCATAGAAAATTGGGGATATAAACTTCTCATAAAGTGCAACTAGAAAACAGAACCAGCGAAAGTTGATAAGCTTCACTAAACATGCTGTTCAAAAGCGTATGCGGTCTGAGATGCTTATAAACACCTTGTTATTACCTTCGCTGAAGCTGAAGAGGAGGAGCCCTGCTCTGAAGTGCTCTCACTGTTATAAAACCAGGAGTAGCATATTAAGGATAGCATAGGGGAGAGTTTCTAAATCAATCTTTTTAAAATTACTAATCCATGTTTAGCTTGATACGTTAATGCAGCTATGTATCAGTAAATTCCAAACTGAGCAAACAGAAAAAGAAGTCCACAAAAATTGTTAAATTTGCTAAAGTAAACTTGGTAGCATTAGTTGTTTCATTATGTTTACTTGAGCATTGAAATCAACCAGAAAGCCGTGATTGTTCCTAGTAAGCAACTGCTTTAACTACTAACTTGACAAACTTGGCTCAAAGAGATTCCACAAGAAATCAACTTATGGACTTGTCTATGAGATGCTTGAAAGAAAATGTAAAATAAAAAATTAGATTGACAATGACCATGAAACAGGCAATAAGACCTTTGCTTCAAGACAGCTGAAAAACAAGAAGACCATACTGATAGCATGGACAAGACAAACAGCAAAATACATTAACCAGATAGAACAAGAAGCAAAATTCTAAACAAACAAACTGCCCACATACTTCTGTAGCCTATACTTGCTAGCTGGCAAGGCATTTATCTCCACTGCACTCATTGCAGGGCCAGATGGAGGATGGATTTCAGGGACCTCGTTGACTTCTATCGGAGGATGATCATCTGTAATAACTCAAACATTAGGAATACATCTCATAATTTCTGCTGCAAATGCAAATGAAGTATTGCAGTGCCCACAAGATAATAGTCTCAACTGCTTGTTTTTTAATCTTAAGGTTGAATTCTATCCAATCATACCAAGTTCAAGTTCACGATCTAAAACAGATAATTGGACTCTGAACCCTTGAAACCTTCCTCCAGCTATATACGCAAGCTGTGGTGGCAAATTCAAGCGGCGAAGATTGTGACTTATCAATGCATTAATAACCCCTCGATTCATTCGGGGCCTCCCACGGTATCCAAAACAAACATAGTAGAGATTCATCATTATCCAGCATGTTATGGCTCCAATAAATAACCATACCTAACAAAAGAGATTGACATTAAGTTCAGTATGCAAAAGGCAGGAATACTCAAATCAAAAATGTCAAACACTCATTGGGATAAACATGAGAATACCACGAAATCAACAAGCAGATTGTCATACGTCCACATTGTCGACATGCTGGATATGTACACTGCACGAATTAGCCATTATGGTTATTAGCAAGGAACTTTGAGATGACATATACAAGGAAATAGTGCAGCCAACTGACACTCTGAATGAATAAGAATTTAATGATGAAAATAATCAATACCTTCATTTTCTTATTTCCTTCCTTTGTCACAATTGTTTAATTAAAACTTTACCCTCTTAATTTGCAAAATTGAAGGATGCAAACTCCTTCGTTAATATCAAATAAAAAGAAATTTCAGAGGCTATTAATCAAAGACAAATACCAAGATACATCTTTTAGAAGATTTTCAAATTAAAGTTAGAAGTGTTAGTGAAATAATAAAATTCAGGTAGAGCCAGTTCTACTTTAAACCCTTTTACCTATGGACCATAAAAGATCTAATAGAAATCATCATTAAATTTCCAAACAGCACGAGCGAAAATCAAATACGGCCCAAAGGACTGGTATAAAGAAAAGTTCAGAGAAGCTTTTCGATTTTCCTTCCAGACAACCAAGTAATGATATTCCACATTGCTGAGACAAATACTCAAAACAATGCATCAAACAGAAAAAGTTGACCGGCTAATCAAAAGTCAGCATGATAACAGCAAACAATTACAATTCGCTTCATTCAGAGTGATAGAAACCACCAACAAAAGCAATCTGAGATGGAGAAAGCCTTTCTTACCTATCTCAAGAGAGGCAGTAAAGATGGAAGACTTCACGATCCAAAGACCATAAAACAATGTAGAGAGCAAGGCCGCAGAAGGTCACATATATCAATGCTGTCGGTGAAAATGTAACGCCCTCTTTTGTGTCACAATGTAGAAGCATTTATAGCCGGTTTACTGTCGGTAACGACACGTGTATGGTAATAAGCAAATCTTCTTTACTTCTTGTGCTGCCACGGCGAATTCGACATGCAATAGGCATTTCAGATGCAAAATCTTATTCTTTAGCTGAATATCTTTTCCCGAATTGTCACCTTGAGGAATTACCTTTTACTACCTGAAAAACATTAAAAATAAAGGGTTGACATGGAACGCCTGGAAAAGGATATTTAGCAATTTCAGCATCGTCAAATTAAGAAATAGCTAACACAAAAAGAAATGAAGGTAAATCCTGAGTCTATTGTTTCATTGCTTTACAAGCTACATAAAACCTTCTCTGACAGCAACGATGAATTATTGTGGCCACACATTTTGAGCTTGTGTTGTGTGTGCCTAAGCACAATTTCAAAACCAATTTTTTGGTCAGAAGGATCCTTAAATGGCAGACCAGGCATCAAAACATAAAATGCTTGAAGATGTAAAGTGGAATTCATCATTGATGATATTCGGTCATTAGTAAAGGACAATTAAATGATAACTCTTACATTTCAGAAGCAATATACAAAGCGCATCTCATAAAATGCCCAGCTTTGAAAGGAAGCAGTTCTCAAAAAGGTAAGATAAGTGTAATGTTACCTCAGAATTGGGTAGCTAAAAAAGCAGAAGTAGAATACAGCAACCTGATTAAGTGGATAGGATAAGATCATGTCTACAGATTCGTTTCCAGGAATGCTCCACAATTTCCACAGAACTATTTCGAACAAACACGGTAGAAACCTCCCTAAGAAATAATCACTCATTTGAACATATAAAGACATAAATCAAACCAATGAAACGTAAGAAAACAGTTACCACCACTTTGGATGAGTCCAGCTTCAGCCAATGTCTTAGGTCAAATGACCAGCTGTCCCATGAAACAAAGAGTCAAAGCCATTCCCATCTGTAGCGATGAAGATAAGCTCCCCCCCACCACCACCACCACCACCACTCTTCTTGAGATATTTTTTTCACAGCAATCAGCTCAAACTGAAAATGGAACAAATCGCTTGACGACCACATAGTGAATCTGTCACTTTATCCCATCTCATTTGTAAAGATACTCCTATTTTCAAGCCTTTCACTCACCAACCTCGTTGCTAATTGATGAAATACAATACATCCATAGATCTCAAGCAGCACTCACAGATACAACTCGGCACAATCTAAATACACAATGCTAAATACTTGGCCCACATTTCTTTTGCATAAAGCTGAAATTTATCAAGTATACTCACTATGCCCACTTGCTGAGACATAAACTCACAATTAGACAAAAAAATACTATCGAAAATCCACTGTGTATCTATCCTCTTAATCATGAGGCTTGATGATACAAGGAAAAATAGTTGCAGGCAAGAGCAGCAAAAATTCCACACTGAATGTGGGGCTTGAGAATCCACCCAAGGAAAGATCAATACTACATTGCTACAACAGGAAAAGTTCAATACACATATCCTGATGCTCAACTCTGCAAGTTTTCTATCAAACTTATATCGCATTCTGTAACCTTCCTCTGAAATGTGCCTTTGAAGCCTTCTCTGATTTAGAAGATGCCCAGTTGCATGCACAAAACTATGTAATGAGAGACTCAATAAAGCCTGTAGTTAGTCTGCATGTTACATTTCTTAATGTGAACCCCCCAGCAGTCTGTCTTGCAGTCTTTCTTTTCTTTTAATTACCTTAAAAAGTGAAAAGAAAAATCACTGCAGATTCCCCAAACAGATTATCTCTAAGCACAAGAAATAAACTAAGACACTGCAGTATAGCATTGTAGCCCACATTTTGAGAACAGTTGCAAAAAAGCGGGTGAACCCATAATGCAATTAGGTGTTGATCTGCTTTTGAATAGATTCATGTCTTTCAACATCTAAGTTCTCTCTCTACCAGTTATTCATTGCTTTCACAACTAAGGTTGGCACGGAAAAGAAGTAGCTTCTAAAGAATTACATATTTGGATGACCAACTTCAAATTAAACATAAAGCATTCCAAGCTATTCATGAATTTTAACTAGAGACAAAGGGACAGTCAAAAACTTTTGTTATTCATCTCCTCTGCACCATATTAGGTTAATAAGGGCAGAAATGGTGGAATGCAGGTTATAACAAGTTCAACCAAATCAATTCTATTATTGCAAATATAATTTCTGGGTTTAGATACTCAGCGTACTAAAATCTGCATGATACATTAGCAATAAGAAGATAATACAGAGGAACAAATGAGCACATTAAGAACTGAATAAAATTAATTTATTGTCTGGAAAATATAATGTATCAAAATGCACTGCTCCAGGAAAATCTTAATTTTCAAGTGATGAACTCCTACACAGAATCTCTACTATCCTAAACCATGAGAGAACAATTACAAGTGGGAATCAATACATGAAATGATGAAACTGAACAAGAATACGGAAAATGAAAACAGTATCAATGACTATAACTGTAATACCCCAATTATTTGTCAACTGAATGGGCACAAAAAACAAAGGATGCTGACAAAACTCTAGATACAGCAAAGAATGGGGAGTTGATACCAAACCAACTTGAAAACATTTCAAAATACAAATCCACACAATACTAATAATGGGCCTGTTGCATACTCAAAGCAAATCCCAATTGAATCTTGGCTGAGTTGTACCAAAAGTACTTGTTGAAGCTGCAGATGCTGAATGAGTAGCCTGCATCGGCATTGAATCAAAAGTTTCCCATTGAGTAGTGATTAAAACAGGCCCTGACGCTGAATGCCTTGATGGTTGTAGTTGTTCCTGTTGCTGCATCAACATCCCACCAGAATGCTGAGCTCGATGTTGTTCGACTGGCGATGGTACATGATCATAGGAATTCCTGCGTTGCTGCTGCAGTTGTACAGGGGATGACTTCTCAATGTTTATGTGATTTGCCATGCTGGACGTGTCGCCATTACTGCTCGGTGTTGAGTTTTTAATCTTCAACACATCAAGCGTTTCAACGAGCTTCTGAACTCTTTTCACCTATAAAAAACCAAAAAATATCAGTCCAGGTCCCCTAAATTCAGCCAACCTCATAGTTACAAAGTTAGGAATCATGATACCTGCATTTTCCTCTGCAGTTTGACATCTCCATCTGCAACAATTCCATCTAATCTAAGCAGTTGATTCATTAATACCTCAATCAGATTTAGTAAATCTTTTTCTGCAACTCTTCCACCTCTAGAAATGACAGATTCATAAGCAGATACCTACACAAATTTGATGACAGAATGTGAGTTTCAGACATCCAGACTCTACCAATCATACCTCCCTAACTATCCAGAAGCAAAAGGCTAATTAGTACCTCAAACTGAAACGGACAAATATTAAGAAGGAAACATCTTAAATTAACACAGAGCGCACAGTCAATTAATAATCAAATATACCTGCCCAGCTAGCCTATCCACCTCCAAGCTGATCTCAGAGATAGACTTTGCAGCCTTCTCCATTTTGGCACTCTTCCGCATTTCAAGGAACCTCTTTTCTTGGCTGATTGGATCCTCCATAAGAACAATTTTGGACTTGTCTTTCACACCCACAGTGTCAAGAAAAGCATTGTTGTCCCTCTCTTTATCCTTAAACAAAAGCTTCTGATCTTGATGATGCAACCCAGTTGGCCCAGTTAGCATCTTCTTCAACTCCCCTATTACACCAGCAAATAAGTAAACCAAATACACAAATACCAGAAGAAAACGAAAAAAAAAAAAAGAAAAGAAAGTGAAATCAAAATTGAAACTTGATAGAAAAGGAAAAGAAATTTACCAAAGGTAGCTTGTGAGCTGATATTAATTTCATGATAAAGAGCGCCATACTTAACCCGGACCCGAATTGTAGGTGGAGGTGGTCGATTTTGATCCGATTCAGTTCGCATCTGAACCAGCATTCCACCTGGTCTCATCTCCCAATTCCCTTCACCATTTCCGCCGCCGGCGGCCGTATTATTATCTGTCGGTGGCACCCCCAAACCCATTCCCACAGTCTTAGTTCTCATACGCATCATATTGAACTCCTACAAAGAACGGGAAAGATGAAGCAAAAAAAAAATTCTTCCCGTTTGAAAAGTTGGGATCTTTTCAAAAAAAAAAAAAAAAAAACCCAATATCAGATCAATACAACATTCCCTCCAAAAAACCCACTTCACTGCAACACAAATTGAACTTGCAAATTATGGGAAGTAGTTTGGACAAAGATTTGACTTTGTCGGCGGGCTTCAGTTTGACTTGAAGCTGGAAAGAAGAAGAAGGAATTGGATTTTTATGTACTGTTAAAAAGAATTCCCCTTCCTTTTTTTCCTCGGGCCGAACAATCTGCCAAAACTCGTTGTTGTTGTTTCAGACAAAATGCCAACGTTGAAATGTCGAATCACTCCCGTTTCTTCCGTCGGGTGATAAGAAGAGAAAGAATCAATGTCAAAGAAGAAAAAGGAAAAAAGAAAGAAAAAAAAAAGAATAATGGTACAAAAACAAAAACAATGTAATGTGTAAGTTAACCGACAAAGCGATTCTTTTCTTTTCTATATATATATATATTGAGTGATTGGCTGGGAAGGATCTGGGAAAGGATGTGGAAATGGCATATAATTACTAGTTATTTTTTTTTTTTTTTTTTTTTTTTTTTTTTCTATGTCAAAGTGTTGGAAAAAGTTGTGAGCAAAGCTGAACAGAGTAAGATGCAGAGAATGGCAATTTGTATCTGAATTTTTTAAATATTGGTTTCACTGCTATTGAATTATTACGACGAATATTTTTATACTTTTCCTGTCCCAAATGAGAAATGGTCATACAATAAGTTTAAGACAGAACGATAATTATTTATTGTTTGCCAAAAATAATTAAACTTAAATTGGTGAAAGAAAAAATCTTTGTGATTATGGGAGGGAACGCGAAGAATAAAACAACTTTTTAGGATACTTTTTTTTTATTAAAAATGTATAAAAAAGCGTATTAAAAATATAAAATGTTTGGTACAACAAAAGGAAGCCTCAAACTTGCTAGTCGAATGAGATATCATTGCTTATATGATACTTATACATAAGTACATTACGAACTCGTGACACTTGGTTATTGATTTGAAACTTTTTCAAGCTCTATTGATGCACCATGATTGAGGCAATTGAGTTTGTAGTGAGGTGAGTGAGACTGTTTTGATCAACTACTTTAATAATTCTTTTAATGTGCTTAATAGAAAACAAATCCCGCTTTAACGAATTTACTAATTTGATGATGGATAGTTTCATTGCTTTACAAGTTGAGGTAAATACAATACATTTTAGATTTCTATTAACTATCATACAATTATTAATTGTATTGTAGATAAAGGTCAATGATGTACGGTACGAAAATGTTCGGAAAGTCAAATTTTTATTGAACTTCTTGTGATGCTGATGCCTTGCAAATGTTGTCACGAAGACATTAACAAATATATCATTAATCGATAATATTATTTCTGTCTCAAAAAAAAAATTCACGAATGTTTATAAATTTGAAAACTGAATTTAAACTACTTTTTGAGTGACGGGAATAATATTCATCAACAAACAAGATTTTAATTTGAAATGGAGATACACAACCTTTTCTACTCCATGATAATTAATAATTTCCAGCTCTTTTATTGCAACCAAAGAGAAAAGGTAAAATTCCCTTGGATTATGAGGCAAGATTTACTGGCGTGCTACTGGCTAAAGCCGGTGAAGGATCCAAATCCGCCGGCCATGTGTTTCATTCAAGTCGGTAAAGAATCCTTGTCGACCAGTCGGACGTTTGCGTCATATTCAGTGATGCAACGAATTCGAGAGACTCAGATTAAAATAAAGGTGGGTCGTGATTGGACTGACATAAGTACCTCTGCTAATTAAGGCCCATCCTTAAATGCACATGGGTCCGCACTTAAATGGTACTTGTCCAGTCCAGGTTTTGAACTTAGTCCACTGGATTCGTTGATATGAACCGATTCATACAAGGTATTCCACATTGTCTCCGTAGGTCGGGTTTTCGAATCTCGCTCATTAACATGGAGCAGTTTTAAATTTTCGATTAACTGTTATACATACATAATTTATTTCGATCATCAATCACCGTTATTGATTTGGTTAACATTCATCAATGTTGAATGTATTCCGCATTGTTTATAGTTTTATTATTTTGGACCTTCCAAAGTTTGAGAAAATTGTTCTTGATACCTTGAATTTAGTGTGTATGACATTATCGAAAATCGTTAGGTTTTTCAGTCATTGACAATTTTGATCTCTATAGTTGGTGATCAGCTGTTTTTGTTAAATCAAATGGCCAGTCAATGTCCGCTTTGTATTATGTGTAATTTTCAAGGATTGACTACTTAACAAAGGGATGCATTAGTTTTGCAAGGAACATTCTATTGAAAACTGTATTGAATGTCACATTTGTATGAACCAACAATGACACTTTTAGTCCATTTCATAATGAGGGGTGAAACTTTTGGTCTCTTATGTTTTACACTAAACTTTCAGAAAATTCTCGGTTCTACCGCTGAAAATACCTAAATACGAAATATAATTATATTAATTTGAGTTTTAATCTCTTGAAAACTCAATTCCATTATAAAAAATTGGCACTAGATTCCATATGAAAATAAGATATGCTTCAAGATTAAGCCCGTTTCATGAAAATAGTGGGCAATTTATTTACATAACGGAAAAAAAAGGGGAGACAAAAAAAAAGCTGCTGAGGAATGTGATGACACAAGTAACCCCGGGGGGGGTGGGTTATTTTACTTTTCTGATTTCTAGTCTTCCAAGCAAAGTCCTATTTCTTAACAACAAAAATCAGAAGAAATTCAGACAACCAGAAACCAGCTATATACGTATGACTGACTGACCATTAAAAGTCCACATAGGCCAAAAATATCAAATCAAATTAGGCCTATGGGGCTCAGGTGATGAGTGATGACAGAGGGAGTATTCGGTAGTACTAGTTACGATTAAGATTTGACGCCAATTAAACTAAATCACCAACAAATTAAGCACACAATTTCAGACAGTTCGTTCATGATGGGAGATAATAGTAGTTACCAAGCAGCGAGCAAATTATATTTTACTCCATCAACTGGGGAAATATACTTTTATCCGTCTTAGAAAAACAACTTTAGTTTTTTCCATAGCATTTTAGTTCGAAATCTTGAACTATTTTTATGGTTTTCTATAGTTTTACTAACAAGAAAATACTGCATCTGTCCCATAAAAGTAATCGACATCGGGTTTCAAGATTTATTCTAGTTTTATAAAATTTTTCGAAACTCAATGTGAACTATTTTTTTGGGATGAAGGAATAGTAAACTATACTAATCCCAAGTTATACAATTCAAGAATTTTTCAAGACATCCTGCTCAAGTTTTTACGAGTGAATCTAGAGAAACTTATGAGAAAGTAGGTAAAGCTTATTAGGGAACCTCATGCACACTTCTTGTTCATAACTCTAAATACATGTTGCCTATTTGTTTATTTGACCATAATGCACCATCTACTTTTTCGTAAAGTACATTGAATGTAGAAAAATGAAAATGACACAAATTTCTGTGTTTGCAAGAGTAATTAAAAAAACACAATCCTTCATTATTGTTATCTTATAAAATATAGTGGTACTAACGTTTTGCCAACAGTATCGTAAATGGCATTTTTTTGGTCAGTTGGATTTACCCATAATTGAAAGAGAAATATGATGGAATTAAGAGTGAAATCACTCATGGAGAGTGAGTTATTCTTAATCATTAAGGGAATTTAGACAAGGACACGTTGCTCCCTCCATACTAAGATTACTGGCCATTGCTGATGCCGTCCACTTCTGGTTCCATCCCCCACTACCAAAAAAAAAAAACACCATCATCATCGTCATCAACACAATCACAAAGTGGTTGTGGTGTAGTTGAAGGGACTCCTCCACCCTTAATCATAGATCAAGGGTTCGAATCTCGTTATAAACATGAAACAATCTTAAATACTTTGGCCAACTGTCTCACCCATTGAAGTGTTTACAATTCAGCGAGAGAGATTAGTCACTATTGCCGATCGTGTCCACCATGCAAATATGAAAAAATAAAAAAATAAAAAAAATCATCGTCATCATACACAAAAAGAAAAAAAAAATTGCCATCCAACAAAAAGGAGAAATCCTTAGCCTCGGAAAAGTTGGTATGCCAAAATGGTGAAGGAAAGAGAACCTTGAAAGCTAAAGGCTTTAAAGCAAAAACCCAGAGACACACACCAATAAGCAACCGCAATTTCCTATTCTCATTTCACCAACACCAAGAAAAAAGAAACTTACTTGTTTGGTAAAAAACTAAAAATAGCAATTGCATTTGCACATGTTTTTTTGTACTGCAAGATCTCAATCTTCTCTAATTAGAAAAACAGAACAGGGATTTCGTGATTTCATGATTTTCGTTACAATTACCAATACAAGAAAAGAAAAGAGGCTAAACACAGAGTGAGAGAGACCCCTAGTTAGTAGTTAGGCAACTTAAAATTATAGCATCCAAAAATGCAGCACTGATATACAGCAAAAACCTCTCAATTATTTTTAGGCATAGGAGAATCATGCATTCAATTGGGTGGCCATCAGCCATTGACCATCCATCAATCTCATCTTCCTGCTGTGGGCTGCTCTGTAGTTGCCTTTACATTAGGGCAATTTCACTTATCCTTCAGCAAATAACAATAAAGAAGGAATCTTGAAATTCAAAAAAAAAAAAAAAATTCATCTTCAAACTTTTGATATGAACAAATTAATCAAGAAGATTAATTTACTACATAAACAAAGAATCAACAAAAAAGATATGCCATTTGGTCCTCCATTTTCCTACCCATGACTGACGGAACAAAATTTTTTGATTCAGTTGTAGAGCATAATTGCCATATCCTATATGTACAAAGATTACATTCCAAAAATAATATAAATGGCTCTCTTCTTTCTTTTTTACAAAAATTAATCTTTCTTCAAGAAAATAATGTAACTGATATTAAACAGAAACTATCGCCTGAGCAGCCAGTTTTTTAGTCGGATTCATACACAACCCAAGCTCTTCGCCGGCCGGTGTATCTACTGAAACTGGCATCGGAAACCGAATTCGAATTCGCAACGCTACTCCGGCTGTGCTCCAGTCGACCCCTTGACCCATTATTATTTCTCCTAAACAGCGAAAAGAAATTGCTGAACATCCTTCCGATTCCTCCGCTTCTACTTCCGCCGTCTCTGCCACTGTTTCTCCTTCTCGAACCCCATACTATTCTCCGGGGCAAGCCTGCGGCGTTGCCGCCGCTTCCGTGACTGAAATCTCCGTCCATTTCTGTATATACAACTGGAAGTTCTCTCTCTTCTACGGGTCCTCCGGCACCGGTACCGGTTCTCCGGCCACCGCTGAATCTCCCCACTGCGAACCCACCACCTGGTAACCTCCATATTGTCAGCCCAACGGCTTCCTCAGCTCGGCTGGCTCCCGCGCCGGAATCTGATTCCAAACCGGTCGTTGACTCCGCCGGCAATTCGTGCCGGCAAACTGGACACGAGTTACGAAGAGATAGCCAGGGAAGGATACAGTCGGAATGGTAAATATGGTTGCACGGCATTTCCCGAGCTTCGGAACCCAATTCAAACGCTTCTTTACAGACGGCACAGTGAGTCTCTGAGCTTACATGGGTGGACGCGATTTCTATCGTGGGCATCGATTCGATGGCCGATTTAGACGCCGGCGGGTTCTCCGGCCGGGCCAATCCGTTGACTTCGATCTGCGAAAGCTGGTCCAATAATCTGTCAAATCCAGAACCCATCAGAAACTCCGACATACTAGAAGGTAACGGCCGGAGACCCGACCCGGACCCGTCGTCGTAGTAAAGCTCGTAACTCCTTTCACCACCTCCTACTCCTCCTCCTCCGCCATCACCATCTTCCACAGCTCCTTCAGCTTGACCTCTCAAAACAATAACCGGGTTGAAGGGCGACCGGTCGCCACGATTCCGGCGACTCCGACGGAACCCAATATTAACGTTCTCAGATCTCCGAGGAAACTCCGGCGAAGGGGAAGGCGGGCTAGAGTCCAAAGCTTCAATGAAGCCACTATCGCAGTGAGGACAAACTACGTTATGCTCCGCCCAAACCCGAACAAATCTGGTACAACGGTAACACCAGTACGAGGTTGTAATAGGCGTCGTCGACATCTCCGAGGACCCTTTTTCTGTCAAAAGTCTAAAAATATGAACGATTCCTAAGCTGACCCAGGTGGGTTAAATAAAAACCAGATCTGATGTAGAAAGGAAGGTTTTGAAGAAGCTGAGAAGAAGAAAACGCTTTCTTTTCTTCTTTTTTGACTTAGCTGGAAAAATGGGAAATAAAAGGAATTCGTCGGTGTGTTTTGGGAGCGTTTTTTTTTTTTAAAAAAAAAATATCTTTTTCCGGAATTTTGGAGCGTGTGAAAAAAGAAAGAAAGACCGACCCGGAAGGAAGGAAAACGGAGGCCCGTTGAATAGTCGTATTAGGAAGACACGCGTGATGATGACGATGATGTGGTTTTTAACGGCCGCGGAGGCGGAGCGTTTTCCCCCTACTACTATAGCCCACTCTCCATGTGGGACCACGCGTCTCCCCTAGATTATTATTTTTTAACGGTAAACTAACGGCGTTGGTAAATCTGGTCAATTTTGGCGGGCTTACCCAACTTGATAGGTGGGCTAACGTATATGATACTTTCATTTTCGGTTTCGGTAATTGTAAAATTAAAAAATTTTAAAAAAAGTTACAAATCTCAGCATAATCAAATAATCAATTACAGTATCTTTTTTGGAAGATGCTTGGATATAACTTTTGTGACGGAAAAGGATTTCAGTTTATAGTTTCTTTTTCATCCGTTAAAATGCATAAACAGAGATTGGAATATTTTGACAATTACATTTCCGTTTTTAATAGTCAAAAATATACGAATAAACGAATGGAAATAATGAAATTATTCATTATTACTAAACTAATGTGGTTTTAGGAATATATTAGAATCCAGTCAACGGTTAACCTAAACATAACTTAAGTTTACGGTTGGAATTTATTAGTCAAGTAATTAGTTTACTTTCCCCCCGCTGTAAACAGTTGGAAATGAGGATAGCAGTTTCCACTCGAATGTTGGGATTGAAAAACAAGTTGAAATAGCATCTCTGTGGTTAAATTCTCCCTTTCAACTTAAGAACAAGTGAAAGACGCTTGTCATTTGTCATTAACGGCAATAGTAGATATAGTTGCGAAATATATATCAGATTTATTGATACACATATTTTTCAAAATATTTATGTCTCATATATAACACAATAGAGATATATCAAGTTCATATATCTAAACATAACACAGAAAATTGGAATGGATGTATCCCATACGAGTTTTATTTTATTGAAAATTTTGCGATCCGAAATTCTTAATTGATTGAATCAATTTGAGTAAAGTACAGCTTCTAATTAAGTGCTTTCAACATGACTGAATATTCAATCCAAAGCATGTATATTGCACATGTCAAACCTCAATCAAGATGAATAGGATTCCATTAAATTTTTTTTTTTTTTTAAAAAAACAATAATAATAATGAATTGGTGCATGCAATGTGAAGATGGGTCGCCAATGTTTTGTTATTAATAACTAAATACAGACAGCAAAAGTATACTGTGGTCCCTTTAATTTGACAATCCTTTGGTCCTCCTGTTCTTCTGGTTTTCAGGATGAAGCTGAAGAAGAAGAGAAAAAAAAAAAAAAGAAAGCCCAAAAGTATTATTTGGTTCCCCTAATTTTTGAGTGACAGATCAAAAGCTGATGGAACTGATGAAGAAAGTTGAGAACTTTAAAACATTTTCTTTGACACAAAAATCATCCATCACCATTCCTCACCCCCCATCTTGTCTCTAAATCTTTTGGTGCACAAAAAAAGTTTGATTGATTGGAAACTGGAAGCATTTCTAATGATCAAGCCTTGAATTCAGAAAGTGTAAAAGTGTTTAGTGTTAGTGTGTTACAAGTGTTGATTAAGATTTCTTTTTATATCCGCATCGCTGCGATAGTGTAAGTACGTTAAAAGATTTGAGCAAAATTTCAGGTTTCAGAGGAATCATCCGCCTTTACAGTAATGTCACAAGTGACACAAATTAAATGAAGGTAAATAATGACCTACCTCCTGAGTTTTAGCATTAGCATGATCTATCATAAACCTCACGAATTTGATAATATTACCATATAGCCCTTGAATAAAGGTTAAACATTGAAATTACAATACAAATTTCTATACACTTCATTTTCTTTTCTCTTTTTTTTTCAGTTTGTTTTTCTTTGTATTTTGACCATTAAAAATGAAAATTTACTTCATTTATTATTTTCACATTTACATATATTATAAATTTACAAAAGAAAGTTATTTTATGATTAATAATAATATAAGTTACTAATTAAAAGTTAATTCAAAATTAATAATAATAAATTAATTGATGAAAATAAATAATATAATTAATTTTGAATTTTTTTATTTAAGTGAATTATTATAAAAAAATTAATATGGTATCTCTGAACTTAATTTATGATATATTTTTTAAAATATTTAAAATGTATAATTTCAAAAATATATATTGGAAGGTAGTTTTGACCGTTAATATAAAATTGATGATGACATTATTATGTTAAGAGAGTTTTTGGTAAGTTGAGTGTGAGTTGAGAAGATATTTTGTAGTATAATCTAAACTCGGAGGGTTTATGATAGATCTAGTCAAAACTCAGAGGGAAAAATGTAATTCGTCCCCATTACTTATATGAATCAAAACAAGGGCAATCTCGATAAGTCCAACTAATCTAGAAACATGATGAGTTTAAATTGGGGGAGGTATGCTACATTTGTATCAAATTTTATTGCAAAAAGTTTCTTCCATCTCATAAAATGAAATATCTAATTTTGTTCAATTGTATTTGTATAATAAAATAGAATATTTTTCTCGAAGGAATAGAATAATCATTATTCTTTAACGCATCTTCTGAAAAAAAAAAATCATACCATTTTTTTTTTTAAAGACAGATAATCATAAAAAGAATGGATTCTTGAGCAGCCACCTTTGGTTGTGAACATAAGACCTTGTTTTCTTGCAGCAATTTTAGGACCAAGCGGGACAATAGCATGTTAGTGGATTGCTATAGAGGTCACACCAAGACAACCAAAGGAAATAGTATATTATAAGTATTGCCATTTGCCGATTCATCATCAACGAATTGGTCAATTTCTTTTGGAAATTTTGATCAACCCTCCTTTGGATCACTAGCTGTGCAGCATTTTGAAAGAATCAATTGAACATGTGAGGAAATATAATTAAGATAATCCAGGTAAACCGCCTAAAACAAAAACCGTGAGTAATATAACTAATTAATGAGCAATGGAGAAATTTAAGCATGAGAAACTCTTACTAAAAGGAAGCAAATTTTCTTTCAGGTGATTCACCTCCACGTCCACCATTTGTCTTGAGCATTGCATATTTACATCTACATGTTATTTTTACCCCAGTTCTAGTAGAATTTAACCCCTTGTTGGGAGATAAAAATTAACTGCAATGTTGCTTTCAAGCTACAATTAAAATATTCATATAGACGGAAAGACTACTAATTTGATTCAGTATCAATTAGTCTCTGAAATATTTGTGTTTGATTACAGTCAATACCTATATAAGTAAGTGGCATTGAGACAGGGTAGAAATTTGTAACTTCTTTGCATATGTATATTTATTTATGTAGGGTGGAGAAAAAAACCCTCAGGATCAAAACAAAAAAAAAAAAGAATTATTCTGATAAGATTAGAAAGATCAAAGAAATTTTAGGCTTTGTTTGGATCCTTTTATAAACATCTTCACTGGGTTTTTTTTCCCCATAAATTTTAATTAATATAATTTTTACGTTACAATATCTTTTTACATTTCTGATACATCAATTTATATTTTAAACATAGAAAAAAACACTGAAAAATATGAATGAGTTGATCGTAACAAAAAAAAAATGGTTACCATTTTCACCTTTGTTACATTGTTGCTTGGTTAATTGGACTTCTGAATATCTTTTTTTAAAAAAAATTGGACTTCTGAATCTATTCACAGCCCATTTTCTCAAGTGAACTGCCATGGAATGGGCTGATAGAATTCATGGGATTTCACGTTGACACCAGTTTTGGCTGCAATTTAGTTCAACCCAAGAAGAACAAAGAACAAGGACAAGAAACTTTTGGAGCTCGTGCAAAGAAATCTACATATGTGGAATTCTTAACGCCCATCGTACGTGAGGCTGTGAGCCCATTTCTCAATGATGAGATCATGTTAATTGTACACATTTGTTGTCTGGTTTTTCATCCCAACTTTTTACATACTTTTTTGGGCCAAAATTCAAGTAATAAGAATTTTGGGACGAAATAAACTGTCCCAAAATTATTATCCAATTTGAGATTTTACTTTTAGTGCAATTTGAACTAAAAATAAAAATTCAAACTGGACAATAATCATGGAATGGAAGGAATATCTCTTTCGGGAGTATTACGTTATGATGTACTGGTAAACTGTTACACGATGTGCAGAATGATTCTCACAAAAAAAAAAAAAAAAAAACCCATACATCGCAGCAGGAAAATAATAAATCAAAAGTTATTTTTTTCCCCAGACCAGGTAGGACAAGATTGTAAGTGCAAAAGAAAATGCATAAATGTGTGTTAGGTGGTTTACCCTACACAAAAACTTGTCTTAAAATGGATGATCATCGTATGGTTACTGTATGATAACTAGATACAATGCTATGTATGTATCTTAAATATGCAATAAAAATGTTCAAATTTTCAGTGTCTACATATTTCTCTCCCGTTGTTAGCTTTTAATCATGTTATACAATTCTTCAAAACACAATTGAATTAGCTTATGAGAAATCTACTAATTCATATTGCAGCACGCACATTGATGTCAACCGACTAAATAAAATACATGGACTATTATAAAAAAGAAATCCACACGTATATGTAGCCACGAAATTATGCCATTTTAAAGCACTGGAGTACTATGATAAGGAGGGAGAAATTGATATACTCTTTCTGTTCTTAGACTATTCTCTAATTTAAATTTAATTTTTAATTCTACTCTGAATAATAATTTTAGAACGAAAAAAATAATATATTGTAGTTTTTTACAAAAAGAAAAGATATTTCCACGAACATACAACATAACAATCTAACCAAAGGGCAACTTGAAAACTTGGAATGTCCCCATGTTAAAAACAGCTAAATGACCTACCATCTAGTGATTAGAATAAAATCTACCATCCATGAATGTCAACCCATTTAAGAATAATTCATAAAAATTACATAAAATGTTCAATTTCACCTTATAGATTTTGTAATGTTCTATAGGAAAAAAGAACCCAATATTAGTAAACAAGGAACATGAACAAATTGTCAAATTTACGATAAACGTTAAAAAAACTTTTATTACTATTTACGGTTAAAAGAAAAAAAATTTGAGATTATACGTTCCCAACAAAAAACGATTATCTTTCTTATCAATCAACACCAAAAACATAATGCAATCATCAAAATGTACAACAACTATAAAGACTCCATACTCCATAATATTTCAAAGTACTTAACAAATTAAGGAAAAAAGATAAAGAAATTGTTCAATGGAGGAAAGCAAGGCATACAAATAAAATTTGTTCCCGAATCTAAAGAATTGACGTGGCAACTTCATATTCTTGTTAATTGCACACGAGGAAAGGAGCCAAAAAAATTCACGCCCATATTTCTCTCTCTACATGTACAAAATAATAAGAAATTAAAAAAAAAACTACAAAAATGAAACAAGCTACATTTTCTCTATCTGATATCATTCAACACCGGATATCAGCACTTGGTCAATAAGCCTCCCCTATTATTGTGCCAATTTATTTTACTTCACAGTAATCCATCCACTCACCAAACTTTAGCCAAAGCTACATTAAAAAAACAAAAAATAAAACTAACTATACATATTAAAATTCAAGAGTAATTATTTTTTATTTTCATTTTTGAATTTTGTAACAGATGCTGCTTGTGCTGCGTGCAGTACACATTATAGTTCTCTACTAATTAATTAATCAGTTAATAAATGAATGGAATTATTAGGATTAATAAAGAAATAGTAAAATCTGTTTTATAATTTATTAAAGTAATCCAAATAAAGATAAGGGAAAAATAAAAATAAAACTTTACTCTATTACTACTTCTTGTTGTTGTATTTAATCCTCTCTCTTTTATTTAGTAGAGTTGGAAAAACAAAACCCTAAAAGGGGTTCTCTGTAAGAAACAATTCGCCGCCGGATTGATCTCTTTTCCATTCCTTCGTCATTCCTTTTTCAGCTTTCTCTCTGCACCTTCTCCACCCCTCTCTGTTCCTTTAACCTCACTTCTCACTTTCAGCTTTTGTTTGGGCATTCAGTGTTGTTTGGAGGGGGGGTTTTGCTGTGTTTTTTTTTTTTTTAATCGAAATTTTCTTGGTCAAAGGAGGATGAAACACCATGTTGGCTGGAATTAATTTAATTTTTCTTTTTGCTGCCAATTGTTGATGGGGTTGAATAAAGTTTCCGTCTTTGTTGTTTTTGATCATGGGTTTTTGGTGTTGTTCTGATATTGACGAAAGGGGTTGAAAAAAGGTTCCATTTTTACGAGCTTGAAGACTTAAATTTTAGGTTTGTGCATTAGGGTTTTCTGGGTTTGGATTAATTTTTGTTTATTTGGTTCGTGTTTGCGATAGCTTTCTAGGGTTTGTGTGTTTTCTGGAATGAGTGAATAGTTCTGGGTTTTTTCTTAATTCTGTAAAAATGATATCGGAATTGGGTAGGAGACCAATGCTTGGAGGAGGCAACGAGAATTCATTTGGAGATGAATTGGAGAAGGAGATAGGGCTGCTCCTCCGGGAACAGCGTAGAGACGATGCTGATGATCTGGAAAAGGAGCTTAATTTGTACAGAAGTGGCTCAGCTCCACCTACTGTTGAAGGATCATTGAGTGCTGTAGGTGGGTTATTTAATCACCGTGGAGTGGGTGGTGGAGGTGGTGGTGGAGGCGGCGGCGGCAGTGCTAACTCTGCTTTTTCGGAGTTTGCCCGGAACAAGGGTGTTAATGGCATGTCTGAGGAGGAGCTGAGGTCCGATCCTGCTTATTTGTCTTATTATTACTCTAATGTGAATTTGAACCCTAGGTTGCCACCTCCTTTGTTGTCCAAGGAGGATTGGCGCTTCGCACAGAGGTTACAAGGTGGGAGTTCTGCAATTGGGGATCGGAGAAAAGTTAATAGGAATGATAGCGGAGGTGGTGCAAGATCACTTTTTTCCATGCCACCGGGTTTTAATTCAAAGAAACAGGATGCGGAGGATGACTCGGACAAGGTTCAAGGTTCTGTTGAATGGGGTGGTGATGGGCTAATTGGCTTGCCAGGTTTAGGACTAGGTAGCAAACAAAAGAGCTTTGCTGAAATGATTCAGGTGATTATCCTGTGTATTCTGTTTGTTTTTTCTTGGGGTAGTTGCTCGACTACTTTTGTCTTGTATATTATAATGATATGAAGAGCAAATTTATTGAGAGTTTTGTTAACTACACGTCATATGTAGTGATTGTATAGCTTATCTGTGCTACTATTGTTTATGCTTCTATTGAGGCCATTTCCAAGTTATTACTTTTTCTTGATTGAAGGAGATAGCTGCCATTCATTTGTGTTTTGCCTATTTTTTATTCTCCCAGTTTATGTATTATCTAAAGGTTTTAGTGTTATCAAGTTCTTATCACATTCTGCTCTGTTCTGTTGTCAGTCTATGGTTATAGGTGTTTTTTGATATTTAACGCCAGAATGTTTCTTGTTCTATGTGATCCAACTAGGAATGGAGTTGTTCGAATTGAATTTGAAATTACCTGAGTCCTAGTATCTCTAAATTGGTTTTTATTTTTCTTTCTCAAAGAAGACAGTTAGCTGATGAAATTCTATCCAGTGCAATTGGTCTCTCTAAATGAGTTATGGTTGTGGTGTTAGTATCTGAAGCAGAGAGGCAAATAGTTTTTCTAGTGATATGCTGAACTCCTTTGGTCCTTGGCTATGTTGGCCTGCATCTTGGTTTCTTTGCTTTACAGATTTGTTTGCTGATATAAGGACTCAATTGTGTTGGTACTAAAGAACTACTAGGAATATTATCATGTCATGTTGTGCTCTAATTTTCATCTTTACTTGGTCTGGTTCATTACATGTGTAGTTGTATCAAAGCAGCTTCTATTTGTCCTTGTTAGATTTTGACTGCTGCTTTCAATGGGAGAGAGTAGGTTTCCCATAGTGTGGACAGATAATTTACAAGCCCTTTCTTTTTGTCACTTGTTGCAGGATGCCTATAGCCAACCAACTTCTGCATCTGGTCACCCTTCACGTCCTGCTAGTCGTAATGCGCTTGATCAGAATACTGACGCTTTGGGTCCTGTGGAAGCTGAGTTGGCTCAACTTCATCGTGATTTAACATCTGCTGACCCTCTGCGTTCCAGTGCAAGTGTGCAGAGTGTATCTCCTCAACCTGGTGGATTGCCAACGTCATACTCCTATGCTGCTGCTTTGGGTGCTTCCTTGTCTAGAAGTACCACACCTGATCCCCAGCGTCTTGCAAGGGCTCCTAGTCCTGGCCTTGCCCCTATTGGTGGAGGAAGAACAAGTGCATCAGAAAAGAGAAATCTCAACAGTCCAAACTCTTTTAATGGTATCTCATCCCACTCAAATGATGCGGCTGACTTAGTTGCTGCTTTGTCTGGTATGAACCTTTCAAATGGTGCTGTGGATGATGAAAAACATTTGGCTCCTCGGATTGAACAAGATGTGGATGACCATAAAAATTATCTATTCAACGTTCCAGGCGGTCAAAGTACTACAAAACAGCATGGTTACTTTAAGTCTGACTCTGGTTTGAGCAATAGCAGTGGTTCTGATCTTAGCAGTCCTCCCTTTCAAGGTGATGCTCGCAAAACTACAGGTCCTCGTAGTAATGCTTACCAAAAAGGATCTTCTACGTCTGTGTTTAATGGTGGTGCTGGTATACTCTCTCAACATCAGCATCAGGATAGTCCAAACTCATCGTTTTCTAATTACGGTTTGGGTGGATACTCCATGAATCCGTTAGCAGGAAATATCGGCAATTGTAATTTGCCACCTTTGTTTGAAAATGCTGCTGCTGCATCTGCCATGGCTGTCCCTGGTATTGACTCAAGAATGTTTGGGGGATCAAATATTGGGTCTCCAGTCTCAGATCAAAACCTTAATCGAATTGGGAATCAGATGGCAGGGAGTGGTTTGCAGGCATCTTATGTGGATCCAGCTTATTTGCAGTATCTAAGGACCGCTGAGTATGTTGCATCACAGATTGCAGCCCTCAATGACCCTTCTATGGACAGGAACTATATGGGCAATTCATACGTGGACTTGCTCCAAAAGGCTTATCTAGGTGCTATGCTATCTCCTACAAAATCTCCATATGGTGTTCCACCTGGTACCAAGAACAGTGCTTCGAACCATCATGGTTATTATGGAAGCCCTGCATATGGCATGGGCTTGTCTTACCCTGGAAGTCCGTTGGCAAGTTCAGTTGCTCCTGGGAGCCCCTTGAGGCATGGTGATTTTAATATGAGATATTCAGGTGGAATGAGAAATTTGTCTGGTGGTGTTATGGGGCCTTGGCACTTGGATAATATGGACAATAGCTTTGCCTCCTCATTGTTGGAAGAGTTCAAGAGCAATAAGACGAAGTGCTTTGAGCTATCAGAAATTGCAGGGCACGTAGTTGAGTTCAGGTGTGTTCTAAATTAAATTAATTTTCTTCAATACGATAATCTGAAATCTGGTTTATCCCTTTCAAATTGAATGTACCTTCATTTGATAGCCTGAATTTGTCATTTTTTTTTGACTTGTCTGAGCAGTGCGGATCAGTATGGGAGCCGATTCATCCAACAGAAACTTGAAACTGCAACAACAGAAGAGAAAAATATGGTTTTTGAGGAGATCAATCCTCAAGCTCTAACTTTGATGACTGATGTGTTTGGTAATTATGTGATTCAAAAGGTATCTAGTGCCATCTCTCTTCTCTTTCAGTAGTTTCTTAGAAAGATTCGGGTTTGCATTGTAGTTGGTCTGGCATGAGAGGTTCCTGTTAAGTAATTTCTGTCCCATTTTTCCAGTTTTTTGAACATGGAATGGCATCTCAAAGAAGAGAATTGGCTAGCAAGCTATTTGGGCATGTACTTACCCTCAGCCTTCAAATGTATGGTTGCCGAGTGATACAGAAGGTAATTTTGCTGAATACATCTGTGTGCTTATTAGTTTATTTTGAATTTGCTTAGTGTCAAAGCTTTTTAATTAGATTGTGTCCTCAATTTAGTTATTGATGGAGGTTCCTAATAATGTTTTGTAATGTTCATAGGCAATAGAGGTTGTTGATGTAGACCAGAAGATAAAGATGGTTGAAGAGCTTGATGGTCATGTCATGCGTTGTGTTCGTGATCAGAATGGTAACCATGTTATCCAAAAGTGTATTGAATGTGTGCCGGAAGATCATATCCAATTCATTGTCAACACATTCTTTGGCCAAGTTGTTACACTGTCAACTCATCCTTATGGGTGCCGTGTCATACAGGTTCCATGACGTTTAATATAGTTTTGCGTGATCTTCTAATTGAGAGATATTTCCAGGGACATGCAGTCCCAAAGGATAAATTCAATGTGATTAATTTTATATTTTCTTTTATGCAGAGAGTTCTGGAGCACTGTAGTGACCCAAAAACTCAAAGCAAGGTGATGGAAGAGATTTTAGGATCCGTTAGTATGTTAGCTCAGGATCAATATGGCAACTATGTTGTTCAGGTCTATACTTTTACCAAGAATCTGTTGTTTTCATACATATATATATATATATGCATATATTATATATATTATATATATATATGTTTATTTATATGACCTATTATGTGTTTGGGTTTCATTTGATGGTATGACATGTTTGATTCAATATGTTTTCCAGCTTGTTTTTTAATTTTGGTTTAGTGGCACCTATTTGTTCCTTTCTTTGAAGCTTTTGGCCATATTTTTTAAAACTTTGGCAGCATGTCCTGGAGCACGGCAAGCCAAATGAGCGGACTTGTATCATTCAGGAGCTAGCCGGGAAGATTGTCCAGATGAGTCAACAGAAATTCGCTTCAAATGTTGTGGAGAAGTGCTTGACATTTGGTGATCCTAGTGAACGTCAGCTCCTGGTGGACGAAATGCTTGGAACAACTGATGAGAACGAGCCTCTTCAGGTATATCATCTTTTCCTTACTATTTGCCGGATGTTATATTAATCCTGCCTCTTAAATTAACATTTGATTATTCATGGAAAGAATTTTTGCGTTCTGCACAAGTCGGTCATAGAAGTTGTGTGTCATTATTCAATCAATCAACCAGTATTATTGTACTTATGTGCGTTAATGAGCCACTTACGTTGGAGTCTAGATTTTTATTCCTTGTGGGGGATACAGGGACGGGAGTTGTATCTGTTGGAATTGGAAAGTAACTCTCAGTGCCTGTGCATTTCGAGAGCTCTATCTTATACTCAAATTGTCTTACATACATTGATATACTCATTAAAATGTTTCACGCTTTTGAGTACTGTCAGTGATTTGTTTGCATGAGGCCAAATCATGGCTAGAGAACTAACGATTTTGCTGACTATAATAGCTCCAACACGTTATTTTGTGCACACTTACGGCAATGTTTTTTTAAATTTTTTATTATAATTTTTATTTTAGAAGTTTTTGGTTACTCAATAATAAGCCCCTTTATAAACCTACTCTAGAAGTGTAGTTATACAAGAAAGCACATGGTTTGTTGGGGAAGGCTGATCTTTGCAATTAAAATGCTCTTAGATTTGCATGTTAACACTATCAGAGCCCCCCACCCCAGCCCGGGATGAAGGGGAAAAATCGTTGCAAATTGTTTTGTTTGCTTGGTCCCTTTATCGCCGTATGTTACTAAAGGTTTATCAAAGTTGGTTCTTGCTGTTGTATTGGCTACTTTTAACATGTTCCATAGTGCTTATGTTACTCTCTTCTTCTGCAGGCGATGATGAAAGATCAATTCGCAAATTATGTTGTACAGAAAGTGCTGGAGACATGTAGTGATCAGCAGCGTGAATTGATTCTGTCTAGAATAAAAGTTCATCTCACCGCGCTGAAGAAGTACACATATGGGAAGCATATTGTTGCCCGTGTAGAGAAACTTGTTGCAGCTGGAGGTATGTGGTCATTTTTCACTACTGCAATTGGGGGTCGATTTGACGTCTATTGGTTAATGGGGGCAGCATCATGCAAACGTATCTGTTATTGCCTTGGTTTCTTGGTTTTTTTTTTTTTTTCCTTAAAAGTTTTTTGGCAGTAGATGTTGATTATCCTGGACTGTTGTTACTGTGCCACTATAACTCGGACCCATCAAATGTTTTCCATAGATCTTGAGAAAATTCAGCTAACTGTCCTGCTGGGTTCCGGTAGAGTAGTCATTTCTTAACTTGCTACCTTGATTCCTTGCAGAAAGGAGAAGCGCTCTTCAGTCTCCTAATCCTGCTGCTTAGATGAAGATAGGAAGGAAGTTGTACTGCTAACAGAGGATAGTTTGAGCTACCTCTCTACTGTTTTTCACTGTGTCTAGTGTTCCATCCCTGCGCCCGTCTTTGGCGTTGGTCTGGAACAGCTGCAAATAAAGTTGTTGCTTGTACTAGAACCCTGTAAATTGTGTAGCGTAAGGTTTTATAGGTAGTAGAAGTAAGCTAAGGCTCGGATGTCAAGTGTTCCTGGTCGCCTTGCTGAAAGAGGAGGTAAAAATGACAACACACAAGTTTTAATGGAGATGTAAAAAGGATAAAAGAGGTTAGTTTTCGTTGATCGCGACTGTACAAATGTTGCCTTGTGGAGAGTTGATCTTTTTAGGTAAAAAGGCCAGAAGTTCCCATCTGTATGTTACTGATAAATTTTCTTTGCTTGGCCGAGTATATGCTTCAATTTACCTCTCTTTAGTCTGAATTTATTGTTTCCAGTTTTATCATTGTTTTTTTGGTTCATTCGTTTGTACAGTTTCTGAATGACTGACAATAATGCTAGACGAAAATGATTTCTTGTACGATTCAATTCAGTTGTAGAAGAAGTAAAACAGGAAACAAATGATGAAAACAAAATCTTCTAAACTGTATGAGTGAAAAAAGTTATCCAAGACGGGGATTCCTAGTCGGGTAATTCGTCGATTTCTTCATCTTCAACCTTCTGCCCAAAACCTCTAGGCCCTGCTCTAGCACGAGTTCTGATCTTCTTCCCTTTGCTCTTCTTCTGTTTGGCAGCCTCTTCTTTCTCGAACTTATCTTTCTCCCTTTTCTGCAAGAAATCCGTAACAGCAATGTAGATAACCTGACAATGGGTTGAACGAACACCTTATTAGAAAATCTATTGTCCTAAACTTGAATCTGACAACAACACAGAAAATGAGAGGAGGCAAAATTCATGTGCAAAAAGAAGAGCAATATCCAAAGTGGTACTTTACCCCTATCGTCAAGATGGATAAGCCGATGAAAGCGACGAAAAGAAGCCCAGATATAATGGTGGACACGCCATCATCTTTGGTTGCTGACACAATCTCTTGGGCAGTTTCCTCAACTGGGGTGGTCTCTAAAAGGAAAAGGTCCCCCCGGAGAGCTGAAAGTTTCCATCTTTTCTTGTTCACCGGAGCCGCCGCAGACGGTGGTTGAGGGGGTGAGAAATTGAAATTCCGTGTGGATAGAAACAACGGGTGGAATTGGGGCGCAACCAATTTTAGAGGCGGCGGAGATTTGACAGAATTGGAAGAGATTCGATGGTTAGATATGGATGAATAGGAGAGAAAGGGAGGAGAAAATGACATCAAAGTAGCAGCAGCCATGAATGAGAATCATCGGCTGCTACAGACTGCTGCTGTATTTCTATCTTCTTTGGTGCTGAAGTTTCTGAAGTTTGTCCCTGCTTCCCCCCACCCCCATTGTCTTAGCTGGATTGGGGGTAGTTTGGTAACTTTGATGAGGGACGTAATTGGTACAACGGAAGAAAGAAGTATTGTCATTCTATTTCATAAGTTGAGGATTCAAATTTCTCTCTATTTACATGGTGAATTTGTAGATATGATGACAGAATTGATCATGACAAATAAATTCATTGATTACTTATTGTAGTTATTTATTGTGAAATGGGTTAAAAAATTATCTTCTTAAAAAAAAAAAATGAGACAAGTGGAGTATAAGAATTTGTAAATTTTACCAAATCTTGTAAATGAACAACAATAACAAGAAGAAGACGAGAAAATTATAAAACATATGGTTGGTATTGGATCGAAAGATTAATGAGTTTTTTGGATGTTGGCATTATCATGGGCTTTAGCATTTTAGATTAATGAGTTTATGGATGTTGGCATTTTAGATTAATTGATTGCTATTATCGTAATAATAACACGTCGAGGTTCAAATCTCGTTGATGCAATTCATTTTAAACGATTTTTTTTTATTACCAAACTCATATAATTAAATTTGAAAATAATGAACCACCATTCTTCCTAATAAAAATTTAGGAGTTCAGTCGTTTGGTATTTGATTTTGCTTTCTTTTGTCTGAAGAAAATAAATACTATGTAAACATCAAAATACTCCGGAAAAGTATTCGTTACTCTCTGTGAAAATATGTTCACTTACGTAATAATAAGTCCCATGCATGCCAATTATCAACTATACCCAGTTAAACTGATTGGATTCTTAAAACTTCTTCGAAACTATTGTTTCCGATATATTTTTCGGAAGTCAAAAGCTCTCCACATTTTTGAAAGAAAAAAACTGGTCAAAGGGATCACAAGAAGTTTTATTACCAACTTGCAATTTTCTGGAGTTTCATTTATTTATTTTTTATTTTAATTTTACATCAATTTGTAAGGAACTTACTGTCCATATAATTAGTCCAGCTCTGTCTACAGCAGATGCTTTCCATTAACTTTTAGTTTTCGTCTGTAACCTATTCTTCGCATTGGTTGAAAACCAGCAGAAAGGTGATCAGGAAAAGCCAGAGGATTCGAAAAGGGCAGATGATCGAGTGTTGTTCTGGATCGAAAGATTAGGCTTCTCTGTTATGGGATAGGCTTGGATTTCGTTAATACAAACAGATGATTGGATTTTAACCTGGAAAGCGGTTTCCAAATACGCTACCATCTTCCATTGTTTTTGGATTTGCACAAATTTGATGTAACTTTTTGTCCTAACTTGGGAAGCTGCTCTGCTTGCAGCTGTTAAAGCAGGGGAAGAAGGAACAGAGTTCAATAACAATGGATGACAGAATTGGTTTTGAGGTCGTGATCCATTCGTGAAACTAACCAGGTTTTTGGATCGAGCGAATAGCTATTTTAGTTTTGGCTTGCGGGATCCAACTTCTGAAGTCAATATTGACAATCATTCTCAGAAGCTGATTGGGGTTCTGGATTTTTTTTCCAAGGGATTGCGGTTTTAGACTTTTGCTTTGTGATTGTTTTCCCCTTGTTGAACATTTACTTTGCTTGGTTCGGTTATGATAAGGAATTTCAGTCTGATTTTCTTGAAGAGAGATTGGTAGAAGACATTGGCAAGAGTGTTAATGGAAGACTAACAAAGGAAGAGGAAATCCGAAAACATAAAAAGAATAATAATAAGCGAGTCTCATTCACTGACGAGGTTGATGTACTTGGGATATTGAATCCGGAGATTGAAACACTAACAGAGTGACGAGTCAGGATCAAATCCTAGGCCTATTGAGCTTAAGGTTAGATTATTTGGAAATTAAGTCACCGTCTTAATATAAATTACCTATTATTAGTAAATTTACTGTAACTAGGAATCGCCTTTCTACCCCTATATAAAGAGTTGGTCTCTATTTTATTTGGGACAAGTTCTCTCCGAAATACAATAATAATATTCTCTTTATTTATTTTTATTTCTTCTAAAACCTAATTCTTAGTTACCACCCGTCTTAAAACACCGTGCAGATTTCGACTACGTCACGGGGGAAAAAGAAGAAGAAGAAATTAACATGGTCAAGTTGGCTGATGATGATTCCATAGCCAAAAAGGGTGTTAGTAACGAAGAAGAACCACGAACTTGCGATGATAAGCTTGCGAGATATGTGGAGAAAATGCAAGATGAATGGAAGGCAGTACAGAAACAAAACATGGAGAAATGTGTGGAGGATTGCCAGAAATTGGAAGAGCTGAATAATGTGATGGAATTGAAGCTATACCAACTGCTGAAAGAGAAAATTAGAAAGAACAGTGAATTGGAAATGAAGCTTAGTTTCGTTACCAGAGAGATCTAGGGCATCCTTGTTCATCACAGTTTTCTTAAAAGTAGTCTTGGGTACTTGATGTTGTCTTCGATCGAATCTTTTGATTTTTTAATAAAATTTTTATTTTGTTAATTCCGCTTTAGTCAATCCTCACCAAATGTTATAAATGTGCATGATCTACTAAACAAAAAGGATCTACTAAACAATATATATATAAGAAAAAACTAAGACGTGGTTCTACAAAATAAACTTTTTTGAAATGTAGGAGTGTACCGAATGAGTTATGGATAATGGGCTTTTTATATATGTTATTATTATGGAATTAACTTGGCTTTTGTTAGTAACAAAAGATGCTTGGATTTATCCTGGAAATTCATCTCCTAATTTTTTGGGTTTTGCACAAATATTTTCTACTTCTTCTTTTACATCGGGGATGGGCAAATAATATTAAGATTCTAGGTACACCTTGCAAGGTGTACTCAGGCAGTGCGTATATCACATACTTAGGAGAAAAAAGTGATCATTTTAGTCCGGATTTTTAGTTCTCACGCGCGCATTTAATCATCGAATTTTATCCCTATTTTTTTGGCATTTAATCCCCATAATTTTATTTCCTTTTTTTTTTGGCATTTAACTCCTTGATCTTATCCCCTTTTTTTTTACGCACGTTTAATTTTAAACCTTTTTTTTTGCTTATCATGTTAGTTTTTATATTATTTTATTTTATGAGATAATTTTTTTATAATGATAGATTTTATTTTAGTAAAATTGACTATGGTTAATCATTGAGACTTATGAATATGGAGAATCAATGTGTATTTTCCCAGTAATGAATAACCAACGTTTAGACAATGAATAATGTTATGTAATTATTGAAAGATGATTAATGTAGAATGTATTCGTTTTATTGATGAATATACATGCGTAAGGTAATGCGTATTATATGGTTAATGATGAATATGAATTTCATTATTGTTTTTTGACCGATGGTGTATTATCTTATTACGTTTTTATGATGAATATTTTACGTTAATTAATGAATAACGAGTTCTTATTGATGAACAATTGGACGATGTTTCAACTCTGAGGAAGAGGCTTTTGCTGCTTATAATTCTAGTGCATTGTTCTTTCAATAAAAAGGTTCAAAGATTGGAAAATGTCCAAATCTGGTGTTGTATATGGGAAACAATTTTAATGTAGCAAACAAGGAGTAAAAAATTCATGAGGTAGATGATATACAACAATGAATAATTATACCAAACTGATGAATACGACAATTTCAACAATGAATAATTATACCAAACTGATGAATAATACAAAGATCTACTAATTTACCAAAAAAAAAATACTAGTTTACAAAACTGCTGAATAACCCTCTATATCAATGTCTACACTTATTGTGGTTTGGTCTTTTTGCAGATTCAGATATCCTGCTTCTTTCGGCTTCTGATTGTTGTTCTTCGCTCATGCTTCTTCCAGATTCTGTCTGATATTCTTCGCTCAGGCTACAATATGTTTACAAATTCCATGAATAACTTGTCAAATGTGATGAATTTTTTAGTGTGTTTCTTAATATCAACGTATCAGATGTATCACAAACTTAATGATGACTGTTTGATGAATTAATGAATAAATATATATAGATGATGAATAATCCGGGATTATGAAACCGGAAAATTAATAATAATTGCTGACCCAATGAATAACATCCCTTTACGGATGATTATCCCAAAGAATTTTTACAACAAATTATGATGAATACCAATTACCAAATTGATGAACAAATTTAACGAATAAATAACACATAGTTGTGATAAACGATGAATACAGCAATTTCGACAATGAATAATTATACCAAATTGATGATAATACAAACATCTAGTAATTTACCAAAAAAATAATACTACATAGTAATAGTAAACGATGAATTCGACAATTTCAACAATGAATAATTATACCAAACTGCTGAATAATACAAAGATCTAGTAATTTACTAAAAAAACAATACTACATAGTTTTGGTAAACGATGACTCTGACAATTTCAGCAATGAATAATTATGCCAAACTGATAAATAATACAAATATCTACTAATTTACCAAAAAAATAATACTACATAGTTATGGTAAACGATGAATCTGACAATTTCAACAATGAATAACTATACCAACCTGATGAATAATATAAAAATATACCAATTTCCCAGAAAAACAACATCCAATAGAAGAAAAAAAACTCTAAAATTGATGAACAAGCATCGTCAATCGAGAGAATATACCTTATATCTATAGAACCCAAACAAAAAAAAAAAAACACCAATGGTTGAATATGAAAAATACTTTAAACTTGATAAACAGATATGCATATACAGTAAATCTACAAAACCCATAAAAAAACGCATCAATAGTCCAAAAGATTAATAGTATTACCTTCGTTCATCTTCACTTTCCGAACTACTTCTGTTCGGTTCAGGATCCTCAATCGGTGGTTTCTGCGTAGATGAATTTTGTTCATGTATTACCTTAAATCGCATCTTGAACAGAGTATATTTCCACAATTTCCACTGGATTTGATGCACAATTTGATTCCGTCCCACAAATCCAGTCGACGAGAGGTTTTCTGGCCAAATTGCTGTAGAGAAAATTTAGTTTTTTAGTTTTTTTTTTTTTTGTTTGAGACGGATTGTGATGAATGGGGTGGAAGATGGATATGGTTAATGGCTGAAAATTAGGAGGAAATGGTGGGATTTGAAATTCCAAAAATCGCACAAAATGGAGAATTAAATAGAATTGTTGTAAATATTGAGAGATATCCATTTTTGGGTCGCGTGAGACTCACATTAGGTACACTTTGCTAGGTGTACCTATGATTCTTATATTATAATTGTCGGGGGATGCCCTTCTGGTGACCATTAATTCAGGGCAAAAAAGAAACAGAAGTCAACAATAATGCGTATGTATCGCAAAATTGGCTATGAGGTGAACAACTTTCGAAATCATCCTGCGTATTGGTTGTTTAATTTGGCCTGTGTGATTCAACATTTAAAGTCAAAATAGAATTTCGTTTTTGAAAAAGGAAAATTCTCGACATCTATATGTGTTCTATCATTTAATCTAGACAACTACATGTATATCTGGACGGAAGGAATACTAGAAGAGAGAGTTTTATTATTATTATTATGCCCAAAAGATGGTGGAGGTGAACAATGTTTTAAAGAAGCTTTTGCCTCTTTCATTGCAACCAAAAAAAAAAAGAAAGAAGCTTTTTAATGTTTAGAAGTGCATAATTTAATTACAAAACTGAGATATTTAGGTCACAGTCTCAAAAATAAATAAATAAATAAATAAAAAACGTTTCATTGCGACCACTGAAATGATGTTCTATTTTGTTTCCATCCTACCAAACCATATCATCAACCCTGTATAAACTTATATACCGTAGTCAATTCGATATATACTCTCAAAAATTATTTCTTCTAATTTTTATAATTTCACAAAATAAAAGTTTATTTTAAAAAAAATTGTACTATCATTTTTTATAATTACAACATATAGATCTTCTATAAACGAAACCCGGGCAATCCCGACTGTGACAGTAGCATATTATTACTTAAATCGGAAGATTTCCTCCTCAACTAGTAGAATCGAACCTCAAATCTGCCACTTCAGCAATCCCTGATCTAAACCCTAACTATCCTCCCACCAACCCGCAATAAATACAACTTGTCATAGTATACGTATATAGTATATACTATAGTAAAACACATAGTGCGTAGAACTGTAACCCTAGCTAGCTAGCTAGCGATGGCTAATCAAGCACAACATGCCTTTAGAGAACCCTGCTTGTGGGTGATGTTTTGGATGGACAGAATAGGTGTTTTGATACTGGCTTTATCATGGGTCTTTTTAGACAGAAAATCAGGCTATGGATTTCTAAGGAGGGTACGTTTTGGTACTGGATCTCCACTCCCTTTTTGCTATTTTGCTGGATCATCACTTCCATCATCCTCTTCGCAGCCTTATTCACCATTACAATTCCCGATCCCCTTGGCCCAAAAAGTATCCAGGTGGAGCTTCTTTTTTTTATTTTTTATTTTTATTTTTTTAATGGTTAATTATATTCTCTACTATTGTTTATCCAAGTAATTCATGCACTTACTTATTTTGAAATGTACATACTTATTATTTATTAAATTTTGCATGCCTTTGTTGTTGATTATTATTGAAGTCCGGCAAGGAGGAAACCAAATTTATCGTACCAGGGGGCAATTTGCCTTTGGTTGTTGGGTTTGCTGATTGAAAGAGCTGTGCTTTTGATATGGTGCGACACTGTTTATCGTTTCGGCGTGGAGTACAGTCTGAAACATGGGTTTTTGAGTTCTTTGTTCATCATTGTACTTCCCATCTTCAACATATTCTTCGCACTGGTTGATAACGCCGCTGCTAATCACGACCAGGTTAGGGTTTTAGGACGTTTTCTTTTTTTGGTTCAAATCAGGCAGTTTAAATCAAGTTTTAACCTGACCTAATTAATCTGTTTCTTGTGCCCCTCTTTCTGAACTACTGAACAGGAGGAGAAGGCAGTGAAAAGAGCAGAGCGGAGCATTGTTTTGGGCAGAAAGATTAGGCTTCTCGGTAATGTCTGCGACTTGGGTTTTGTCATTAACAACTAACTACTGGTCTTTAACCTGGAAATCATAACCTGAATACATTTGCATCCTCCATAATCTTTGGGTTTGCACCACCATATTGCATTAGTTGGTCTGCATTTGGAGCCCGCGGGTAAAGACAACAAAACGGAGCTCAGCAACGACAATGGAAGGCAAGATTGTTAGTTGGTACGCGAACCTGTTTCGAGATTTTCCTGGTTTTTGGTTGGATCAGCTAGCTCTTGTAGCTCTGGCATTCGGCTTTAAATGTGTGAATTCGCCAGATTATGATCCTCGAGGGATTGCGATTCTGGAATTTTGCTTTGCGATCTTAATTCCAGCGACCAACATATACTTTTCGTGGTCCGGTTACAATAAGGAAA